TAATACATACATTTCTACAAAACAGTGAGAAAACTGTTTTTTTTTCCACCGTTCAAGAGGAATAACTTTGTCCAAAATCATCGAACCATGACCAAATTCAAAACTGACCTGCTTATTCATAATGATGTATCTATAATTATGTCAAATTTGAGTTGAATGTGTACAACTGTTTGGGAGATAAAAATAAACAGAAACTGAAATTTCTTTTTTTCAAAATTCAACAGGGATAACTCTGTCAAAAAATCAAACCATGACCAAATTCAAGCTTGTCCTGCATATTCTTATGACATATCTATATTTTAAATTTGAGTTGAAGGTGAACAACTATTAGATTAGTTTATACAAATTTATTTTAGTTTGATTGTGTTGGAAGCTATAAGCTTATTGAAACACTCTCGAATCTGTTCCTGGAACCAATCAGTACTTAGCAATGAATGTAAAGTTTCTTGCTCAAAGTAACAACGGCTTGCTCCTGACAGGGTTTGAACCTACGAGTTCAGCAACCCTTAGATTACTAGTCCAACGCGTTAACCACTAGGCCACGCCGCCATTAACAACTGACGGAGAGATAACAGAAAATTTCTTCTATTTTTAAAGGTTAGGTTAAAGAGACAAAACTCTGCCTAAAATCATTGAACCATAACCAAATTAAAACTTGACCTGTGCAATCATTTTACGTATCCATATGTCAAATTTGAATTGAATGTGTACAACTGTCGGAGAGATAATGAACAGAAACTAAAAGTTTCTTCTTCTTTTGTTAAAGGGGTATAACTCTGCCAAAAATGATCAAATTCGAATATAAGTGAAGTGACGTAAGTTAGATTAAAAACATAGGCAAATTATAGAAGATATTACAAATCATTCCAGAGTAGTGATTACAGGCAAAGGCCACTTCTAACTGCCTTGCTGTTGAGTAAACCCTTAAGGGACATGGCTGAGTGTCTACCTACTGTAATCGAGAGGTGTGGGGTTCAAATCCCAGTCAGTGCTTAAGGATTCTTCAGGTTTAAAAGTAACAGTCTTATGATGAATATAGGCATTACATTAACAACCGCAGCTTACAAACAATTAAATTTGAGCATATAAAGACAATATTATGTTAATACAAACTATAATGAGGCAATGGCAGGAAGAAAAAATACATTGTATACCACAGGAAACCAAAACATCAAGACCATTAGGTAGTGATATTTCTATCATATACAAATATAATACATTTGATACACCAGGACATCATTACAGTTATCCCTACTGATGTCTCCAGACCATTTAATAAAATAAAATTATGAGTTAGGTAACAACTAAAAAACTAACCTTGTTAACAAATTTTGTGTTTTTGTTCAAAATCTCATGCAAAGAAATGTCACTCTGTAATATTCCAAGTTTCTTTTTTCAAATACATCTATTTGTACAGAATGTTAAATATCTTTATTTTACCATTCACATAAAAATAATTCAACCACAAGTGGATTTAGTGGTCAAAATAAAATACTAATCCTTTTTTGCCTTTTATACATCTGTTTTAAATAAGGGGATTATTTTCTTATTCAACAGTTTATAAAATGGACATAGAATGGATTAAAAATCAATTATAATATTGTCAAAAATAAATTTGAGAATACAGTACTACTTTTATTGTCGGTATATTGATTTTAACCATCATAAAACTTCTCTGTTCATATCATAATAGAATTTAGAAACCTGTGAAATACAATATCACTATACATTTGGAAAACTGTATTTAATTCAGTTTTCTATACATCGGTAAGTTTTTACATGTTGACAATGAATAGGAATTAAAAGCTATCAATATTGCTTGCTGTCAAGACACAAATTTTAGATACATGTATATACCTGGTTAATCCTAGTACAGAAATGTGAACAGGATAAAGATTTTAAGTTGTTTATATCTGCAGCAAAGTCAGTAATTTGTAACAGAGTTACCATCATCAACCACCTAGGGAAGGTTTATGTGAAGCACACAATAGTACTATTTGGAAAGTCTGAGGTATGAATCGGACCTTTCAGTGCAAAATCTTGATGTATGCAAGAGGTACACATGCAACAGTAATTTAATAAAATAACTTCTGTGTGCAAGAATCTGTCAAAAGAAAAAATTTGAGTAGGTTTTATGATTGAAAATAAGTGCATGTAGGGAAATTATTTGAAAATTATCTAAGATGGAGTTATCGTTCTATCGCTGTCCACCCCCTCTCACTGTTGTTTATTTATATTCTAAGTTTCACTGGGCTCAACAAGGCTGGGGACAATAACTGTCCACATAGAAAGGATACTCTACCTTATAATGCTATTTAGATTATCTTGAGATGCAAGCTTACAGGACTAGCTAGGGTTTCTGACATATATCCATAAAATGATTCTTGTCATAACAAGCTAGTCTGATTCCTTACAGTGCTGGTCAATACCACCCTGTATTGACTGTTGTCTATACAAAACTATCCCTGTATTGACTGTTGTCTTTACAGAACTTTCCCTGTATTGACTGTTGTCTTTACAGAACTTTCCCTGTATTGACTGTTGTCTTTACAAAACTATCCCTGTATTGACTGTTGTCTTTACAAAACTATCCCTGTATTGACTGTTGTCTTTACAGAACTTTCCCTGTATTGACTGTTGTCTTTACAGAACTTTCCCTGTATTGACTGTTGTCTTTACAGAACTATCCCTATATTGACTGTTGTCCTTCAGAACTATCCCTGTATTGACTGTTATCTTTACAGAACTTTCCAAGTATTGACTGTTGTCTTTACAGAACTATCCCTGTATTGTCTGTTGTCTTTACAGAACTATCCCTGTATTGACTGTTGTCTTTACAGAACTATCCCTGTATTGACTGTTGTACTTACAGAACTATCCCTGTATCGACTGTAGTCTTTATAACACTATCCCTGTACTGACTGGTGTCTTAACACTTTTAAGTGAGGGGTGTAAGAAGCTTGGAATCGTTGGCTCGATCACATTTGTGAGGGCTCTTTCACATTGTCGTTGGCTCCAGCACCTTGTTGACTGTTTGATTTTCATATTTGTGTAAATGTTAATATTTTATTTCTAACCAAGTTCTTTCAACTATTTTCTCAACTAATTGCTGTTTCGAACCAAAGGGGAGGGTGGCACAATGTAACATGCACAATAATGTTGGTCAACATTAACTTCATGGGAGAGAAATCACTCAAGATAATTTTCCTCTTGAAGGAAACACTCAAGTTGATAATTTGTAAAAGTTTTAGCAAGCCTTCTTGGGGTATTTCGAAAGTGTATCTAAAATGATGAGAAAAACCTCTAACCTCTATTTCAAATTACATTAAGCATAGAGGAAAAGTAAATATCACTCTAAATGTTTGTTTGTTTGATCGAGTTTTATGTCTAACCGACACAGTATAGGTCATTTGGCGACATTCCAGCTTCACTGGTGGAGGGAAAACCTCAGGTGCCCTTCCGTGCATTATTTCAGGCATGAACGGGCACCTGAGTAGAACCACCAACATTCCATATGCTAGCTGGACAGCCTCCTCATATGAAAGAATCCAAAGTTCCTGTCGGGATTCGAACCCACAGCAGTGAGGGGCAAGTGGTTTAAAGTCAACAACCTTTACCACTCCGCCAAAGACACCCTCCACTCTAAATGTGACATTCATCTTAAAATATCACTCTAAATTTGACATTCACCTATAAACATCACTTTAATATGGCATTCACCTAAAAATAACACTCTAAACGTGACATTCACCTTAAAATATCATTCTAAATGTGACAATCACCTATGGACATCACTCTAAATGTGACATTCACCTTAAAACATCACTCTAAGTGTGACATTCACATATAAATATCACTCTAAATGTGACATACACCTATGAGATAGGGACATACTTAAAATATCACTCTAAATGTGACAATCACATATAAATATCACTCTAAATGTGACATTCACCTTTAAACATCACTCTAAGTGTGACATTCACATATAAATATCACTCTAAATGTGACATTCACCTATGAGATAGGGACATGTAATGTAAACACACCATCTCAATATGCTGACAGTTGTATCAAGACATATTAAATGCATCCTTTACAGCATACTGGCATGCAAGCAGTTCCTGTACAAAAATCGTAGTTACTTAAACTTTATTTCTCATTACCTTCACTCATCAAACAATTGATTGTTACACATCAAAATTCAGCTCGTCACACAAATTATGGAAATTCCATTTTGTTCTAAACATAGAATTACCCTTAGTTATGAGGCCTGATACAAGGTACTGAAATTATCCATTATTTTGTATGAAGAGTAGTTCCCATCCATAAAATATATCCCATTATAATTATACAATGTTGTTATATCAGACCTATATTTCATTTGAAACTGTTGAAGAGAGGTAAATAGGTGTCTTCAGTATATAGAGCATAAACTAATCTCCAGGATTCTATTACGTTGTACTGTTGCCCAAACGTCTTTACTTGCAATGGCATGCTTATATGCATGATATTTTACTCATTAAAGCCATAAAAATATTTAACACAGTAATGTAGATTCAAATTCTGATAATTAAACAGGTTTTCATTGAACTGCAGGCTTATCTGTACACAGGTGGTACGAGTGGAAATCCCTTTAACAGGCCTCATTTGAAAGTATTTTTGGGCATGAGCGCAAGGACAGAATTCCCCAAAGTTTACATGGTCACGTTTTGAAAATTCACAGGTTCATATGTTTTATATGTACTGCCAAACTGACACTTAGATTTTGTCTGGTTCATACATCTGCTTGATTTGATATCAATTTTTAAAGAATGCAAGTAAAACTCGAGTGTTTAAATGAAAAATATGGGTACTGCTTCTGTACGGAAACTGCTCACATGCAAGTATAGTATTATGTTTCGTGACCTCTAAAATAAATGTGTTAAAATACCAACATTATTATTAGACAGGCATTTTCCTAAAAATATTTGTAAACATACCAAAAATCCATAAAAATATATTGTAAATATTATTTATTTATTTGCACTTTACTGTATTTAATGTACACAATATAACAATTTGGAAATATCATTTTTACAGTTTTTAGATGAGAAGTCACTTCCTTCTTTCACACTGTAAAATTTAATGTAAATCAAAACATAATCAACTGACAACACATCACATTTAATGTCAACTTTTTCTTCACAATCACTATAATCATTCAGAGAGTAGTCTATTAGCATTTTCTTTATATTTTCTTTCTGTATTTTAACACATCATTATGTTTGACTTTCTGTTTGTCTTAAAGTATCCCATGCACTAAAACCGGCACATTTTTGTCACAGTGATGATCTGTACATTATTTTTGTCACAGTAAAGACTTGTGCACTATTTCCATGTACAGTGAACCTCTGTTAAGTGGCCGTCAGTAGAGAAATAACATCTCTATAACAACAGTATTGATTCTTCCTAAAGTTTGAGGTCATTATGAAATCAACCTCCACAAAGCTTTGAACAACAACTTAACTTATTGTATCCCACATGATGTTACTCTATAGAGATTTTACTGTATATTTATGTTTTATAAACACTGACATGTACAACTACACTAGCACATATTATCCTAGTACTGTACAGCATTAATTGAAACACATATCTCTATGAACACTGTCACCATGTTATATTTCACTGAAGCTCATCTATGACGGTTTTATACTTCCCTCCATAACTATAGACCTGGCCAGATTTCTTGTTAATGCCAGATTCAGTAAGTCTATTGTCTCTTTTAAATCAGATAAATCCTGGAAATAAAATATTCAATTAATAAATAAATAAATACATTTATGTATTATCTCTCTCATACATGTGCATCAGTTTATGTAATTTTAACTCAATTGTGACACGCTTGACCAAGCCTTAAGTTCACGTCTTGGATATGACCAGCACTAGTGCCAGCAAAAAGAAAACTGCGGTCTTAAATCTTTAAAAGGCCCAAACCTATGATAGACAGACACTACAACTACCTATCTTGTCATTTACTAACAATACTATAACTACTGTTTGAGGCAGAAGTTAACTAGAAATGTGTCATCATGCCACGGATGCCCCCGCATGCAGCCAAAATTTCAGATGGTGCTTTAATTATTTTTTTCATTTTAAGTTCAAAGCCCTTAAAACTTTTCAATGTTAACACAAACCATTTTCATACAATGTTCAAGGCACTGAAATTATTCAGTCTAAACCTTTTAAAAATAGCATATTGCATATTTGTAGCCAAAATAATGGCTAAAAGTAAGAGTGCTGAAAGTGAAAGTTCAAAATTTTTCCAACATTCAGGAAAGATAAGTTTGTCTTAAATCATTGAACTACAACCAAATTCAAACTTAAACTGCTTATTCCTAAGATGTATCTATATTATTTTCAAAGTGAAAGGGACATAACTCTGCCAAAAAATCATCAAACCATGACCAAATTCCAACTTGACCTGCCCATTCCTTTGACATATCCATATGTCAAATTTAAGTTGAATATGTAACACTGTTGGGTAGATAATGAACAGAAACTGTAAATTTCATATTATTTTCAAAGTGAAAGGGGCATTACTCTGCCAAAAATCATTGAACCATGACCAAACTCGAACTTGGCCTTGGCATTCCAAAAACATATCCATATGTCAAATTTGAGTTGAATGTGTTGCACCATTGGGGAGATAATAAACGGAAACTGAAAATTTCATATTACTTTCAAAGTGAAAGGGGCATAACTCTGCCAAAAATCATCGAACCAAGACCAAATTCGAACTTGACCTGTATTTTCTCATGACATATCCATATGTCAAATTTGAGTTGAATGTGTTGTACCGTTGGGGAGATAATGAACGGAAACAGAAAATTTCATATTATTTTCAAAGTAAAAGGGGCATAACTCTGCCAAAAATCATCGAACCATGACCAAATTCGAACTTGACCTGTATTTTCTCATGACATATCCATATGTCAAGTTTGAGTTGAATGTGTCGTACCATTGGGGAGATAATGAACGGAAACTGAAATTTCATATTATTTTCAAAGTAAAAGGGGCATAACTCTGCCAAAAATCATCGAACCATGACCAAATTCGAACTTGACCTGTATTTTCTCATTACATACCCATATGTCAAATTCGAGTTGAATGTGTGCAAGCGTTCTTAAGATAATGAACGGAAACTGATGATGACGGAATGACAGAATGACGGAAGGACAGAAGGATGGAAGGACGGAAGGACGGAAGGATGGAAGGACGGAAGGACGGAATGACGGAACAGGGTAACACTATATGCCCCGGCCATTACATGGCGGGGGCATAATAAAACACTTCAACATTAAGATATGTACTGAAAACAAATAATTTAATAAATAAAGAATTAGACTTGTGTATAATTTAAAGCAAATGAAAATCCGAATGTTACTCGAGTTATATAAAGTCTGCATAACTTACATCAGTATCAATATCTGTACTGAGATATTGTCTATCCTTGGTCAGCTCCTCTAAACAATGCATCAGTTCAAATGTCTCTTTACTTCCATATATACACTGTAATATAAACCAATATCAAATATCTACATAAAAATCTAAGTCTCTATCCCTGATACTCCGAGGTAAAGTAATTCACCATTCCTTCACTTGTTACATATTGATACAAATCTTAATTGGCATGTTGAATGCATGTTACAATTTTTTTATCATGAACTGAGTTGTATTCTCTGATTAGCCTATGTGTAATGTTTACAAAAAAGAATATTACAAAGTGAACTTCAGCAAATATAGCAGAAAACTTACTTCTTTTGCTTCTAGGAGAGTAATTGCATCTTTCAGTAAAGTAATCCAAAACCTGAAGTAAAGTATGAATAGTTCATTAAAATATAATTTGTCACATATTGAAAACATCTTGGAATAAAGTAAACTCTGTCTAAAGTTATATTTCAAAACATTTTTACACTAAAATGATACAGAACAAATTTATGCATACCTAGTACAATTGTATGGGTTTTTTTTTTACATTTCTAGCTGACGTGTCAACTCAACAGAGACTGTTAAAAGTTTTTTCAAATGTAACAGTGCTTCTTTAAAGCTTCAAATGTAACAGTGTTTATTTAAAGCTTATTTAAAGCTTTAAATGTAACAGTGTTTCTTCAAAGCTTCAAATGTAACAGTTTTTCTTTAAAGCTAACAGAAAGGAAAACCATTTATGAAAATTAATGACAGAAAATCACAATGGCTTTATTATATTTAATGACTTAGCAAAGAACATTTAAAGACTTGATTTATGTGCTGGTTAGAAAGTGTATAAAGACGTACTCTCTAGGTGCGAGTCTTGATGTGAGTAATGACAGTAGTAAAGATCCCGCTGCATACAGTTCCTTCTCCTCATACAGTCTATGGTACTCTCTGTACTTGCCCAAAAAAGTCAGCCTACTGCTTATCAGCATGCTAGGACCTAGATTATCTATAAGGTCAAGGTTGGAGAAATATCCTTGTTCATTATACTCCGATAGAAACCTGAAATAAAGATGATATGCATAAGTTATTAACCTGAAAAATTGATAAATTTGTCAATACATAGAGGTGCTAAGAGAAAAACATGTAGTTTAGTGTTACTGAAGGTTAGAAGAAAGGACGAATGTACAACTGTATGCTTAAACATAAATTTTGGGGAGCATATAGATTACTTAAAGATATACTATGCAGAAATTTCATATTAGAAAATATATCAATATTTGCTACACAGTCTCTTTGTAAATATAAAATAAACATGTACTGACTTTACATAAAGTAGATATGTTATGTTTAAAATTCTACACAATATAGGTGGTCACGATATGAAAATATAGTGTTATTAAATAACTGGCAGATTTTTTTTTAAAAGATCAACTTTACTTAAGCTGTAAAAGGGAACGCTGATTCCCATACATAGTTCATTTATTCCATTTTTCAAATTAGACATATTCAGTAAGAATTCATAAGATTTCAATAAATTTCTGTGATTAAAATATTTTACTCAAGGATAAGCAAAGTACATCTTTAAAGGAGAGAAAGTTTTCTTTTTATTTTTTACTCTTTAAAAGTAAATCATAGCTCACTTTTCAGCAATTAATGTTGCAAATGCCACATCCTGAAAAGTAAAAAAAAAATGTTTATTAGATTTTCTGTATTAAAACTAAAATAACATACATGTCTGAATCTAGTTTTTCATAACAAAAAAATAAAAGAAAACCCAGATATGTGTTGCAGATATGTGTTGCTAATAATATCCAGTATGAGTAGATCCAAGACCTTAAAGTGGCATGCCTCCAGAGGAGTAGATAAATCTATTTGTACACACTTCTCGGAATTGTCACTAATTAGCAAAAGTTTTCAATGTTCATACAAATATCCAAAAATATAAAGACAGAAGTCGAAGACAAACTTTTATTTGTACTAAATCCCTAAGAAGAGCCATTGACAAAGCATTAATATCTATATATGTGACAAGAAGTCAAGATGGCATGTGTATTCACGTGAAATAATTCTTTGGTAAATCGAAAAGTAGCTCATACACTTTATATTAGATTATATTTAGTGGTTATAAAATTACCAAACAAAAAGGCTTCAGTAAACAATATATAAAAGAAGCGTGGTTTCACATGACATCTTGCTTGGGAGAGGCAGAATAATGTAAATATTACAATAAGACAAAACATAACACTCTAAATAATAATATGCTTAACGAGGTTGAATGCTTCTAGATAAGATATTAATACCATTTAAGGATTTTGCTCTTTCTTAAAAAAGACGCTATCCTAAAATGATACATTGAACTAAAAATGATACATTCACAAACACATAAATGTCCCATGAAAATACCAAAAAGAAAATACAGAGCACATGATGGTGATTTGTACATAACATTGACATATTAGACATGCTCCTTTAACTTAAACACATTCATGGTTACATAAGTGATATAATTATAATGTTATAGGTTTGATTATTTGAGTATATTTCTTAAATGTTAAACAAAAGTTAAAGATTTAGCAAATACAACAAGAAAGGAACATTGTTTACCTTTGATCTGAGGAACCAGGACAATGCTGCTCCTAATCTTTTATTCTTGATACATCTCATACCCATTATTTTGCAAATACTCTTTACTGAAATAATATTTGTTAAGATATTAGCCAAGCTGAGGCAGGACAATAGACACCCAGTAGCAACTAAAGTAGAAAATATCATGAACAAAAATGTTTCTCAAAGATGGCAAATTTCTTCATATAACTTGTATAAACACAATCACTTTAGATCTTCACAAGTTATCATGTTGAAACCAATAATTTCACACAAAAATGCATAAAAGGGGGCAAACTCTATTAATAATGAGTCAATAGCTGCTAAAATCAATTTTGACTTGTATTTTTATATAGTTATAACATTTCTTACCTTGTTCAGGCATATTTCGTTTCTCACATATGTACAACATTTTGTTTGCCTTTTTCTCCGTTTCTATAGGAATTTTTTCTATGAAGTGTTCTAAGTACTGCCTGTAAACAAGACAAGTTGTAAACCAGCATTTTTTATCCAAAATGTAACAAAATTTGACACCATCTTCAGTGAAATAAATTTAGTTTGTTATTCAAAAGTAGCTAAATCTGTCAATTTCAAACACTTATAAGTCTTATTTACAGAGAATCCATTTAGAGGGCTCACTGACAAAGTAAAATGCACAATTTGAGAACCTAATCATAACTCTAACTTATCCTTCTAACCTTTTAGTAGCAAGAAATTATGCTTTTCTGGAAAGATTGATAAACTTGTAAATTTCAGGAAAATCTTTATAAATAATTGGATTATACAGCAGATAAAACTAGTTAAAGTGCCATACCTGCCAAATTCTGGACAAAAGTCGAGGTAATCAACACCAACTTGCCACAGGCTTTTATGAGACATCAGACTTGTTGCATACTGTAGGAGTAAATATTCTCGTAAATTTGATCCAAATCTGGAAAGAAAGTATTAGTGATAATTCATCATAGATAGACAAGATTCAAGATTTTATTTCAAAAGGCATAAACATTTTACAATGTCCGTCGTCATAAACAGAATGACGGTTACAAATAGTATATGAGAAAAGTATGTAACTGAATACAAATAATTTTTACATTAACATTCTTATATTGTAAAGAACACATATCTAATGTATTTCAATATATGTTTGTAAATAATAGTATTCTATGTATACCAATATCAGTATTTGAAAACAATCAATCATTCATTCTATCACGTAATACATTTGCAAAGTAGATATATTTTGATAATCTATTAACAGTTCCATGCTTAGAATTTTTCATTAAAGATATAAATTTATTTAAGGTAGGCCAAGAGCAATAATATTTTGGTAAATGTTCTTTCCTTAATTCCCTATAAAATGGACAAACAAGTAAAAAGTGATATTCTGTTTCAATTTCATTCATGTTACATTTTAAACAAATTCTCTGATCTCTGTCAATATTCCTAAATCTACCTTCTTCTATCATAAGTCTATGTGCTGAGCAATTGCTGAGACAATAACATAAATATATTTTTTATAATTAGTTGAATTAAATTTAGCTGGTATGAAAGCATTTTAGGCAAACTTCATCAATACCATAATTGATATAAATAACACTACTATGTCCCTCTACTGTAATATAAGAAACAATACGAGTTATCACAGAACAGCAAAATAACTATTTTCATTTCTTACTGATTTACCAAATGATAGCCCAAGATGTGGTGGCATGAAAATAATAATATAATACATGTAATGGGTCTTGGTCAGTGGCACTCTTTGAATTCTAAATTACACATGAAATTATTAGTTGATGAAGTTGAAACATGCATATAGAACTTCAACCAGGAATTTTAAATAGAAAAAACAATTCAATAAGACCATGTTACAGTATGGGTTGTGATCAGTGCACTAAACATGCATAAGGTTTCAAATGATCATATTTAATTAGAAAAAAGCTGGGACACACTCTACAAAGACACTAACGCCAGGGTGAGTTATATATCTCCCCTATTCTTGAAAAATAAAGCTTAAACTGTTCAATTCTTGATCAAGCATTTTATTTATGACCAGTATATATAACTATAAACTGATAATCTTGATGATTTCTATGGAATTCAAATCTTTTTTCTTTAGATTGGAACTTGACATACTCTAGCCTGTGAGACTCCAACTGTCCGCAATGATGTAATATATCTGTAAGGTGTGCAACAAACCACCATCCACTTAAAACAGCACTGAAATATATAACATAAAACATAACCATCAAACTTTCCTGTTCATTCTTATAATACACAGAAAATAACAGAATTATATTGTTAAGTTTTCAGCATATATTTTGTTACTTCCAGTTTTTATTCATATATTCTAGAAAGCTAAAAAAATATCACACACAAGGATGCTCTCTGTATATATATAATAATAAAACCATTAATGAATGTTTACATCTATAAATTATTTTTCATGTTAATTAGCAATTTTAAGTCTCATAACATATCATAATGAATTCAGAATAAAATGACTATGAGAGAATTTAAATACCTGCAGTCTTTAATGACTTGATGTATATCAAACTCTAGTGCTGACAACAATATACTATCAGTCTCACTGACTCGACCATCACTGCGGAATTCATCCATACAAGACTAAAACACAGACAATTATCATTTATATGCCACATGTTGTCTATTTCATACAGATTTTGGGCTGAAATGAGGTCTCATTCACAATGCCAAAAAGTAGCCTTTTATCACACAATAGTAAATTTGTAGTCATCATACAATTGTCTATGACAATAAAAAATGAGAAACAGAGACATATAACAGTGAGACTATATTTAATGAATCAAGGCATTTTCCAACACATTTTTTTATAAAAAAAAAAAATTGTCTCTGGATTTAATTGCAAAAGTTTAATGTTATAAAATAGCACTATTTTCATAGAAAAAAATGGCATTTCATATGACACTTATTTTTCACAGTTCCATTCACAAAAGACTGGGAAAAAAACACTGGCCATATTACTCATATTCATCCAATTTCATCTTAAAAAGCTTTTTTTAACTCAAACCATCCACGAGTGTTTGACAGACTTTTAAACTTACTTTTGTTCTGTGTACATCTGATATATAGTATCTTACTATTTCTAACATTCCTGGCACTTTCTAATAAAACATTTAATTCTTCCTACTATACAAGATACACTAACTATTTATATTAATGTAATAGTTATATTAATAAGGAATTCATTGCAAATAGAATATTTACTTGAACATAGTAGTGTAGATCTATAGATTTGACAGTTGGTTTCTGGTATAACATCTTGGATACTAACATATGATACCAAGTTTCACATAAATCTTTAAGTTCTGTATAAACCGAGTCATCTCCAATCAGAATCTGTAAGTAAATTCATTTGTATATTTTCATATTACTTCTTTATATTTCATAGTTAATATGAGCCGCGTCATGACAAAACCAACATAATGGGTTTGCGAACAGCATGGATCCAGACCAGCCTGCGCATCCGTGCAGTCTGATCAGGATCCATGCTGTTTGCTATCAGTTTCTCTACTTGTAATAGGGTTGGTAAGCGACAGCATGGATCCTGATCAGACTGCGCATCGCTGGTCTGGATCCATGCTGGTCGCAAACGCATTATGTTGGTTTTGTCGTGACACGGCTCATATTATCTCCATAAATGTAACTATTTACATGCTTTTTTTCTAAATAACTTCTTTTAAAATGGAAAATATTATCATTCTTTAAAGACTATTAGCAGAAATTTCCTTTTATCAAATTTTTCACAAACTTTTAGCAGTGAGATTGGAACATGAAATATATTGAGACATTGTTTAAAAGCAACCCTTCACATTTATTTTCACCATTTTCCTGTGGAATGATTTACTCTTGCCACCAGCACAGTGTCATGATAGCTCGCACATTTGTACAATCTGACCAGGCTCTATACTGTTGGTAGCACATTTTTGTATCTTGATATTAAATTCATTAAACTTCGAATGCACTAATCTAAATTTAAAGCATGGCAAATTCATTACACTAATACAGCACGGTAAGGTATAAAAGCATTAGATATGTGAATTATTTTGTACCCTTGCTATAATGACAAGATTATCACATGCAGCAAATTCTCCAGATTCAAATCTTCTCTCACAATCATCCTTCCAATGCCGCCATTTCATGTCAAACTCAGATATAGAGTTACCTCGGAATAGTTGCTGTAATAATGATCAAAATATATACCCATAAATTTACAGAAGAAAATATACCTGTATCTTTATATATGGGTAACTCTTTGAAATTTCCTTACATTAACTAGGCTTTTAACATTCTCATATGTTTTATACTAGTGGTAAACTTATTCCTTAGAAATGGAGGCGATCTGTAAACTGACCAACTGACAGCAATCTACCTAAGCCTAGCTACCTATTATAAATATCAAGAAAAACATTATGAATTAGCTGATGGGTATTTTTTTAACCATTCTTGCATAAAAATTGGGCAGACAGGCATATATTAATGCACAAAACATGCATTAACAGATAGATTCTCATGACCACCCGCCGTTAATGCATGTTTTTTAAATATGCAGGACTAAGAGTACAATGTTAAAACAGACTAATGCAATGAAGGCCCCAATAGCTTTATAATACTATCAAATCATAACATCAACTGATGTTTCCATAGTACATGGAAAGCATCAAACAAGCCCTGCAGGCTCAGGCTTTAAACACATCTCCTGCTTCTGCAGATGTCAATGCACCAAAACAGGTACATTATTAACCCTCCAATAATAAATATAATCACTTTCTGTATAAAACCATATAAAAGCATACCTTAATTTATTGAGTGCTAAATCATCTCTTTCTATCTTGTCTTTCTATCAACTCTTTCTATATGTAAACAAACTACTTGTGTTATTTTAATCATATTGAGAGTTTTCAATAATGTCAAAGTTAAGACATTTGCTTATCCTTACACTGAAAAGTGGCATCTTTCTCAGAACATCATCTATACTCTGGAAAGCATCTGTTTTAAATGAAGAATGTTTGGAGAGAAGATATCTCACTTTGTCAAGCTGACCTTGAAGAACTAAGCGATATATCTGTACCAAAGAAATAAAACATTAATAAATTAATACATTAATAATACATTGAGTTCCAGCCAATCAATTCATTTTTTTCATATTATTCAAAACACTGATATCCATAATGAAGGCTATTTTACAAGAATTTAAGAACTATACTAGATATTAAACTACTTTTTTTGATATATGGTAAACAGAAAATGGTCAAAGGACCATAATATCTGTATAATATAGAGGTACATGCTAGTGAAAACAGTTTAAATATGATTTGAGGACACACATCAAAAGAATTTACTAGAACACTCCTAATAGACAGGATATCTTAACAAGAGCTGTCAGGGGACAGCAACCCTTGACTATTCGAAAGAATTGTCACAAGGGCATTTCAGTGAGAATAATAATGCTTACCTATATGAATACATAAAATTGTCATAAAGAGGTACAGAGGCTTATTATTATGACGTTTTATCGGAAAATCACTGCTTTATTATTATGAATGCATAAAACTGTCACAAAAAAGGCAGAAGCCATTTAGTAGTTGTGGAGATACCAGCTTACATGCAAAAACTTAACGAAGAATTTCTAAGTTAAAAAAAAACATGACAACCTCCCATAACCTAAATAACCAGTCCCAATGAATTTGGTATTGACAAGTTATACTGTACATCTTGTTCACCTTGCCATTTACAGATGTATTCAATCAAGATCACTATGTTTATATTATTAAGCTTACACAATCCCAGTATTCATGATGTTCCTCTTGGAATTCTTCTTTCTGTATCTCAGAATAGAGATTTTCTCCCTCTGTGAAGTGCCAGCGTAACCAGTCCAACAGCTGAGAGATAACTATACCTCCTATAAATAAACATACATCATCAATATATACATCTGTTATATAAATGTACTGAAGCTTTACTCCCTGTTTAGGTAGCCATAATTAATTATAGTTACAAAGAACACATGGGGGCAAACTACATGAGTTCGCCTTGGCCTGGCTTTTTGATTATTTGATATCAACTGTCTGTTTGGCAATAAAAAAACGGAGGCAATATAAAGTTTAACAATTAACTTAACTAACAAGAGGGCCATGATGGCCCAAAGTCGCTCACCTGTATATAGGCCCCCGGAGTGGGGCCAGTTTAAACCCAAGGGCTTTTATTTGAACAAACTTGGTAGACACCCATGAGTATATGTTTCATGCTAAATATCTTAGCTCTAGCTCTTTGAGTTATTCAAAAGAAGATTTTTTAAGTTTTTACTATAGGCACATAGGGAAAATCAATGACCCCCTAGGGCGGGGCCAATTTTGACCCTAGGGTATTTATTTGAACAAACTTGGTAGACACTCATTAGAAGATGTTTCATGCTAAATATCTTAGCTTTAGCTCTTTGGGTTCTTTAAAAGATTTTAAAGTTTTTACTATATGCATATAGGGAAAATCAAAGACCCCCTGGGGCGGGGCCAATTTTGACCCCAGGTCTTTTATTTGAACAAACTTGGTAGACACTCACTAGAAGAAGTTTCATGCTTAATATCTAAACTCTAGCTATTTGGGTTTTTTCAAAGAAGATTTTAAAGTTTTTGCTATACACATATAAGGAAAATCAATGACCCCCGAGGTGGGGCCAATTTTGACCCCAGGGCTTTTATTTGAACAAACTTTGTAGACACTCACTAGAAGATGTTTCATGCTTAATAGCTAAACTCCAGCTATTTGGGTTTTTTTAAAGAAGATTTTTTAAGTTTTTGCTATACACATATAAGGAAAATCAATGACCCCCTGGGGAGGGGCCAATTTTGACCCCAGGGCTTTTATTTGAACAAACTTGGTAGACACCCATTAGAACATGTTTCATGCTAAATATCTTAGCTCTAGCTCTTTGAGTTCTTTAAAAGAAGATTTTTAAAGTTTTTTTCTATATGCATATAGGGAAAATCAATGACCCCCTGGGGCGGGGCCAATTTTGACCCCAGAGCTTTGATTTGAACAAACTTGGTAGGCACTCATTAGAAGATGTTTCATGCCAAATATCTAAGCTCTAGCTCTTAGGGTTTTTTAGAAGAAGATTTTTAAGTTTTTCTTATTGGTTGCCATGACAACCAGAGTTTTAAATGGAATTTTAATTTTTGAACAACTTTGAAAGGGGTCCACCTAAGGATCATTTCTGTAAAGTTTAGTTGCAATTGGCCATGTGGTTTAGGAGGAGATGTTGTTTGAAAAGTTTGACGCCATTTTTTGAAGGACGCACGACGCACGGACGCACGACGGACGCAGAGTGATGACAAAAGCTCACCTTTGAGCACTTCGTGCTCAGGTGAGCTAAAAAACAGTTAATATTATTCCACCATACAGTTATTATAATATCTATTTGTATTAAAGACAAATAGTCAAGTTGGTTGTTATACCGAAAAAAACAACTGTCCATATCTATAACTGGGAACACCTTAACTAAATTTAGCATGAATTGAAATTACATGTTTATGTTGCACACTTCTTACCAACTTTGAACGCACTAACTCCACCCCAACCCCCTCGCTAAAGACCTCCATTAATTTATCCCCGAAATGGAGATTTAGTTTGACTTGAAAATCAACATAATAACAACAAATAAACCCCTAAAAAATTGAATAAGTGATATTTGCCTCAATGTAAATTTGAATTTCATTAATGTATCAATGTGCTATTATCCCTGCAAGTTTTCCTGATGTGTAGACAGATACTTATATACTGTATTACAAAGTAAATTATTCTAGAAACACCATCAGATCAATAATACCACAAAATTTATTAATCACTGTGCAAGAAGGTTATACATGAACTATTTCAGTAACATATAAATTTTAAAATGAGAATCTGATAAAAACTATTATTTTACATAAGTCACACAATACCTGGTGCTACATCAATCCAAAGTATTTCACACAAGCTCCAGATTAACTCTGTAGTGTTAAATATCTTTAACTGCTCCTCACACATGGCCTGTATCTGCTCATCTCTTGTAGAATCTAGTTAAATGTCATGAGAATAATTTTAGTTTAACAATATTTTATTTTAAAAACATACACACAATATACAATTTCACAATCCTACAAACATTATCATTAAGTGAACATACAAAAAGTAGATTACTTTAACATTACAGGATAACCAACATCATCATCATCATTACTGAAAGACAAAAACAATAAATACTTTTCTGGTTGCTTTAGAATGTGAATCTTCCCTTTATATATTCCAGCTCCTCTGGCATTACATATCTGCAAGCTTGTAAGCTTCCCGACATGAAAGAATCCATAATCCTGCCACAGCAGAGTTGGCAACCTTAAATACTCTGTCATTCACTGAGGTCCCAATTTTTATTTGTAAAGGGGAGCTAATAAAACAATAAAACGGAAGGATAATAACTTACTTGATTTATTGAACACATCAAGACTGCAGGCTTTCAGGACACTTCTGTATTGCTTACTGGCTTTAGCAAGTCTGAAGAAAGAAAATTATAGTTTCTTAACTAGAAAGTTTGAATGGGAAAATTTCTCCTTACATAACTACCTGACAAGATGTGGATGGTTTCAAAAAATGATGCTAGTACATTCTGTCATGCTGAAAACATTTAACATTTATAAATTAATAAAATCACATGACTGTTTGAAACAAAAAGAAAGATAACACATTCCAATTACATAAAAATTACATAAAATTTAGATACAAGATGTCATGAATTACAAGATTTTGTTTCATAAATACATCTTATAAGTTACATGGAAATTTAAGCTGAATAGGTTTGCCTTTCAAGTATCATACATAATGTAATTATTATGTAGTTATGTAACTTACTCCATGTTTGTATTACTCTAATCATAAGACTATTGTCTGTTTGTATTTAGGAGGAAAATATTATATTTCTTTTAACTCCAAAACATAAGAATTGTGTATTTTTGTATTGGCGGGAATTTATTTCACTTATGAATTACTCCATATCATGATATTTACCTTTCTTCAATGATATTGTGACTCTTTAAATTGGCGGGAAAAAACACTATTTATAAGTGAATTACCATCTTTGTTAAATAGTGAATGTTAAAAAAGAGTCATTAAAAGGTGATAAAAAAGTGTAGTTGGATGTAAAGAGTGAGTGTTAAAAAAGGTTTGTTAAAAGGTGATTAAAAATGTAGTTGGATGTAAAAGTAAAAATAAAATCTGGATTTAAAAGTGATTTTTGTTGTCTTCAATGTAGTAAAAGTTTAAAGTTTAGAAAATCTGCTACACAAGATATTTGGTATTGACCCTGATCAGGGACAAGATAGTATATGAAGACTTACAGTGGTTTAAGACCTTTAAGACCTTTACCAGAGGCCTCTTGGACTTGTTCCTGTAGAGTTACAAACACATCTGAAATGTAAACATTTATTTCATTTTTTTTTGTCCTTCATGTAGATACTTTCTTTTTAGTTTAAACATAGTTTATTTCAAACAACTTCACGGTATATATACAAATAATGCCAGTAATTAATATACACAATACAGGCATGAATTTTTTAAAAGGATTGTGTCAGAAAGCTGAGCTTATAAAGGCCTTCTCCTTATACATTTACAATGCATAAAATATGTTATAACAGTATATGTGACTTGTTTGAAATATATCTGATTTTACAAGATTGTTTCTCTAATTTACTTATAATCTAGAGCAAAAATATTAACAAAGAAAAGAAGAATTGATAATACAAGACCGCAACTTTCTTTTTAAAGTTGTACTATAGGTTTTGTAATCTAAGCATTAAATAGTATTGTAAAACAAGAGGGCCAAGATGGCCCTAGATCGCTCACCTGACCCGTCAAACTCATCCGAACAATTACCTAGACAAGCGTTCTGACCAAGTTTCATGACAGGTGTGTCAAAAATGTGACCACTAGTGTTAAACAAGGATTATCCATATTTGAGCAGTGTGACCTAGTTTTTGACCCCAGGTGACCCATATTCGAGCTTGACATTGAGCAATTACCTAGACAAGCATCCTGACCAAGTTTGATGACAATTGAGTCAAAAATGTGACACTAGAGTGTTCACAAGGTTTTTCTATTTTTAGCTCCTGTGACCTAGTTTTCCATCCGAGATAAATCATGTTCAAACTTATCCAAGCATCAACTAGACAAGCATTCTGACAAAGTTTGATGATGATTGGGTAAAAAATGTGACCACTAGACTGTTCGCAAGGTTTTTCTATTTTTAGCTTCTGTGACCTAGTTTTCCACCCGAGATGACCCATGTTCGAACTCATCCAAACAATTGACTAAACAAGCATCCTGACAAGGTTTCTTAATAATTGGGTCAAAAATGTGACCACTAGAGTGTTCACAAGGTTTTTCTATTTATAGCTCCTGTGACCTAGTTTTTCATCGGAGATAAACCATGTGCAAACTCATCAAAGCAATTATCTAAACAAGCATCCTGACAAAGTTTGATCATGATTAGGTAAAAATGTGACCTCTAGAGTGTTCAAAAGATTTTTCTATTTTTAGCTCCTGTGACCTAGTTTTTCATCTGAGATGACCCATATTCAAACTCATCTGAGCAATTGACTAGACAAGCATCCACACTAAGTTTGATGATGATTGGGTCAAAAATGTGACCACTAGAGTGTTCACAAGGTTTTTCTATTTATAGCTCCTATGACCTAGTTTTTCATCAGAGATGACCCATATTCAAAACTCATCTGCGCAATTATCTAAAAAAGCATCCTGACAAAGTTTGATGAAGATTGGGTCAAAAATGTGACCACCAGAGTGTTCACAAGGTTTTTCTATTTTTAGCTCCTGTGACCTAGTTTTTCATCAGAGATGACCCATGTTCAAACTCATCCAAGCAATTGACTAGACAAGCATTCTGACCAAGTTTGATGATGATTGGTTCAAAAATGTGACCACTAGAGTGTTCACAAGGTTTTTCTATTTATAGCTCCTGTGACCTGGATTTTCATCGGAGATGACCCATGTTCGAACTCATCCAAGCAATAATCTAAACAAGCATTCTGACAAAGGTTGATGATGATTGGGTCAAAAATGTGACCACTAGAGTGTTCACAAGGTTTTTCTATTTTTAGCTCCTTTGACCTAGTTTTCTATCCGAAATGACCCAGTTTCAAACTCATCCGAGAAATTGACTAAACAAGCACCCTGACAAAGTTTGATGATGATTGAGTCATAAGTGTGACCACTAGTGTGTTCACAAGCAATTGTGGACGTACGACAGACGACGGACATTCACCGATCCTAATAGCTCACCCTGAGCAAGCTCAGGTGAGCTAAAACTAGAAATGTGTCCATAGGACACTGATGCCCCCACACGCCACTGTCCTGTCAATCTTATGACTCTAGGTCAAATATTTTTTGGACTACATGTGCCACGAAGTTGAAAACTTAAAATCAACAAAGGGCCATAATTCTGTTAAATTTGGTCGCAGCAAATATTCCTTCCTTTACTAGGCCACTCTTAAAAAATTATCTGTTTGCTATTGCCGGCCGACCCACCGAAAATGCCCCGACTCAAAAGTTTTTTTCAGCTTAAAAAAATCAGATTTTTTTTTATTTCCGCCAAATTAGCCAGGGCATTCGACCTAAAAAATTCCCTCGAAAACAATAATAAAATCGGAGGAAAATCACACATTTAATATGTAAAGTAACGAGTGATAATTCATGAGGGCATTCTGTGCATTACTATTTAAAGTATTTACATAAATAGCGACCAACCAGGGAAGGATATTTTCCTTACGTCACGCAGTACTGCATGCGCGCGGCAATTAAGTTGAATTAACTAATAATAGAACGTATCAAAACGGGATTAAAAATAATGTTTGTTCAATTAATGAATATTTGTAAAGCATTTATATGGTCACTAGTTTACCATGTGGTAATTTTAATGTGCTTTGGATGTTCGTTTGTTGATGACTGCCGACACAGATTAAATACTTAGCCCATGCAATGAAACATTTCTGGTAGCAGCGGGGATTCTGTCATAAAATTGACCGAAAAAATAAATTTTTGGAAGCTGTGGTCCTTTCATATGCATTGTTGCTTTGATAGCAGACACAAGTATTGCACAATATCTTCAAGATCGTAAAAATGTAAATAAAATATCACAATCAAAATCACAAATATACATACGTCTAATTAAACTCCATGTCAAAATGAACTTCCGATTAATAATATGTCAATAATATTGACACAATAAATATCCAACATTTTTTTTACTTGAGCAATAATTAAACATGTGTAATCATTCCTTGACAAAAAGAAATGACAGTTTTTTTCTGATATATAAAAATGAGGTGGAAGTCAATTGAGTGTCGGCACATCTTTGATGATTCGGCAACAACTACAGGTGTGTAAACATCAAAGATTCACAGATTCTTCAGAAGAGCCGACCAGTCATTTGTCAGAGGTCATTTCGTGTGTAAATTTTGTATTTATTATTTAACAATGGAAACATTATATTCCTTTTATTTATGGATGCTACTTTTTGCCCGAGTGTTTTTGTGTCTTTTAGCGCTATGGAATTTCAACTATCGGCGATAATTTTCGGTAACTAACAATGAAATATTTTAACATTTTTAAAACAGGGATGCAAATATCCGCCATTCAGAAATTATGGGAGTCAAATCTTGCGTGCGTTATTTTTTACAGACGTGTAATAAAATGAGTAATGAACACCCGAGAGAACGAAATGTCCTGGAAATCCAATATAATTTTCCAGTTCGTACGGGAATATTTACGCAGGATCAGTTTATCACATCGGTTATTTGACCATGCTTGAATTTATGTCCACATAGTCATTTTTTTTATTTCATGTTATGATTACTAGTGAATGTTTTTTATTGTTTTTGACAGTCTTTTACATGTAAGTTTTGCCATCGCCGATGATGATAGTGTACGTAGTCCAAATTTCCACAATCTGCTACAACGTACTAAGCGTATTAACTTACGTTCAGTAAAAATCATATATCAAAAAAAACAAAAACAAAACGCCTACCTACCGACCCACTCCTTATAACTCTGGGTCGGCAATAGCAAACATATATATTATTAAGGATGGCCCTACCATCTACACATTAAGGTTGTTCATCCCTGGAAGTTTAAGCAAAATCTGCCATCCTGTTTAAAAGGAGTTGCGTTCACAAAATTTCTACATAGTATATAATGAAAAAATCAACAAAGGGCCATAATTCTGTTAAATTTGGTCGCAGCAAAAATTCCTTCTTTTGCTACCATCTACACATTAAGATTGTTAATCCCTGGAAGTTTAAGCAAAATCTGCCATCCGGTTTAAAAGGAGTTGCGTTCACAAAATTTCTACATAGTATATAATGAAAAAATCAACAAAGGGCCATAATTCTGTTAAATTTGGTTGCAGCAAAAATTCCTTCCTTTACTGCCATCTACACATTAAAGTTGTTCATCCCTGGAAGTTTAAGCAAAATCTGCCATCCGGTTTAAGAGGAGTTGCATTCACAAAATTTCTACATAGTATATAGTGAAAAAATCAACAAAGGGCCATAATTCTGTTAAATTTGGTCGCAGCGAAAATTCCTTCCTTTACTACCATTTACACCTTAAGGTTGTTCATTCCTGTAAGTTTAAGCAAAATCTGCCATCCGGTTTAAGAGGAGTTGCATTCACAAAATTTCTACATAGTATATAGTGAAAAAATCAACAAAGGGCCATAATTCTGTTAAATTTGGTCGCAGCAAAAATTCCTTCCTCTACTACCATCTACACATTAAGGTTGTTTATCCCTGTAAGTTTAAGCAAAATCTGCCATCCTGTTTAAGAGGAGTTGCGTTCACAAAATTTCTACATAGTATCTAGTGAAAAAATCAACAAAGGGCCATAATTCTTTTAAATTTGGTCGCAGTGAAAATTCCTTCCTTTACTACCATCTACACATTAAGGTTGTTCATCCCTGTAAGTTTAAGCAAAATCTGCCATCCGGTTTAAGAGGAGTTGCGTTCACAAGATTTCGGGACGTACGGACGGACGGACTGACAGACGGACGGACAAGTGCAACGCTATATGCTCCCACATTGTGGGGGCATAAAAAAAGATGGTAAGTAAATAATACCGATAAATACCCATGCTAATCTCTTAAGGTACAATTCATTCATTTGAATCAGAAATGTTGTTTAAATTTATTATTATATTTAAAGTGTTTCTAATAAAATCTTGTTAACTTACTGTGAGTTTCATTGACAAGTTTACGGGTGATTTGTCCATGCATATCTGTCTCCCATCTCACATCATGTATCTGAGCCACACCTCCACCTACATTCTGCTCTAAAAATAACAATTACAATAACTCATAATAGTTACTACACAAGGTTTTTTTCCACATGGCCACCTCCGTTAAATTTAGGAGAAAATATTTTTGTATATTTATTGTATATATTTCAAGAAAAATTGCAAGTAGCCAAGTAGCATTTTGAAAATTAGCTTTGAATTAATTTTTCATGGTTTCTAAGTTTCTAACTCATGTTTTGTTGATCATATTAGACAATATTAAAAGGTAGGAACATGCCTCCATGTGCCTATTCATTATCAGACTAGTAAATATAATTTAATTCATTATGAAAGTCCTTTATCTACACATTGCAGGGATTTTTTTGGCTTATTTTGTAGTGGATATTCAGATTTTTTTGGCTTATTTTATAGCGGATATTCAGTCATATTCCCAAATGAAAATATTATATTATTTTCCCAATACACAGGAAAAAATTCCCAAATGAAAGTTACAAAATAAAAATATTCAATAACAAATTCTAAAATCTTTGAAAATAAGGGCTTCTTCACTGTTATGGTGCTTAAATGTTTGAAAATGCCATCCTAGAGTCTAGGAGACAGTGATTCCTTGCATTCAATTCATCATTGAAAAATCTAAGTTGTGCATTCTTTCCCAATTTCTTACAAAACATTGCTGATATTCCCAATTCCATGTGTATGGGTCATGTCCTGGAGGAAAAAAAAACCTGCATTTGACAAGAGAGCTTCAGTGGGGAAACATAATACAATTATATATACCTTTTGATACAAGTGGATTTTTGCCAGTGAAAACAAATAACTGATTGCCTAGACCCCATGTAGCTTGTAGACCTCGCTGAGTGTCAGTAAATGGTAATTCCTACAAAGAAAACTCCTTAATCATAACATTGCATATGGTTGCATTATTGCTGATGCATGTGACAGCATACAAAGAGACAAATGGCGTTGCAATCTGATGTCAAACTAAAACAAATCAGATAAATTTCCTGTAACATTTTATTGTGTAGCAGACGGTGAGACCAGATGTCTTAATGTTTTATATTTAAAAACAAAAACAGAGCACTGTTGAGTGTTGCAAAAGTTTGGTTTGTTACACATCACGTTATAAATATCAATGGTGATGTCGCAGACATCATAACAGTTGGACTTTTTAGAAATGGTGAATATTTTCACCTATCTGGAATTATTAGGTACTTTATCATATCAAAGTTTATGTTCAAAATTAAGATATTTATAGGTATGTAAAATTTTCACCCTGCATCTGAAAAATAGGGGGAATTCTCAAAAGTAGTTGTGAATACCCCCTCCCCATACTAGAATTATAGACACTGATATCTTTATCATTTTTCTAGATATATGAGTTTGTTTTTTGTCATAAGCCCCATCGGACATTTTCACCAGCCTGATATATTGCAAATTATCACATCTGCAAAATAACAATATCTTGCAATAGAGTGGTTGGACCAATGCTCGGCGCATACCAATGCTAGGGGTAAAAATATTTCTTTCGAATATCTGAAAATTTTTAAGGTATCTTCGATTTAGGTCACCGGTACTTTTATTTACATCTTTCACCATTTTATCCTAGTGCAGTTCACTGCTTGTGAAGTCACATGACAATGCTAATAGCAGACGACAGAGATAACAGAGATAAGCAGCTCCTATATACTCCATTGAAATATCACTCATGCCTATCAAAAAGTGAAAAATTAGGCATTTTGTAGCAAATAAAACTTAATGGATGTACATTTGATCCTCTAATATTATATACCGTTTGAAAGGTAAATCTTTTATCTATTGCTGCATGTTAAATTATTGGTAACTTTCCATACCTTTCACTTAGAAAAGCATAGCAGAACATACCCACTGAGCCAGTTATTTCATCATATGAATAGTTTTGTAACAAAAATTATTAAGTAGTTCTCTTTAGAAATTGATGTATCATTTATTTAAATGGGAATTGTAAATTTTTTTACCTGCAGCCATATCCAAATGCATAAGCTTTCAGAAAATGTATTATTTTACTGATTTTGATATCTTGTTAATAAGTTTTACTTGCTACAAGATTTAAGTTTAGTAGGCACACATGATATTTTAACTGGCTAGGAAGTTGCCTATCTCTGTTTTCTATGTCTCTGACAATGGCTATCTAATACAATATCATCGGTCTTGAAAATGGACATATAACATTGAGGTTTTTTGACTTTGATTTGAATTTGTCATATCAAATATAGTATTTTTACGCTGAGCGTTGGCAGGGATCATTCTGGTCAGGATTTTTAGTGAGAGATTTTCTCTCATTTGAGAAATTTTAATGAGAGAAATTAGATTTTCTTGAGAAATTTAATTTTCATGATATGGAAATTTCTAACTTTTTAAAATCACTGTACATATAAACATTGTTTATCTAATGAGGATATAGATGTAGCTCTGTTTATTACAGTGATTTTTGTTTTCACTTTTTCATTCATCCTATGCCTTTTCTTTTGTGAATTTTTAAACATAATAAAATTCTAATTGTGAAAAATAAATATAACACTTTCATTCTGAAATATAAAAGAATTATACATGGATATCTACCAAATTATTATTTGCAGCCAATGTTCCTAATGGACAACACTGTACTGTACAGAAATGATTGTTGAGATTTGAAGAATATTTTTTATAACCTTACATTTTGTTTTCTTTATGCTTCTCTTCACACACCTCCCTCCATTAAAAAATATTCATTGAATATGTGACCTGAACACATAGTGACAAATAATCTCCATATCCACAAATATAAACAATACCTAACGTAATTTTTATTCAAAAACATCATTTTTAGTGTTATAAAACACCTTTAAATAACACTCAGCTTCCTTTTAGTATTTTTTTTTAATCATGACATCGCGAAAATATGTGACAAATGAATATTTGTCTGTTTTCCGCTGAAACATTTACAATTCTAGCTGTTGCTGATTGCAATTATATAAAATTAAATATTTTTGTTCAATAAAAGAATATTTATTATCGGCTATTTCATCAGGAATCGTAAAACAAAATTTTTTAATTTGTTCTTTACGGCAAAATTTACCGTGGTTGATGTGACATTTAGAGGACAAATTTTACCGGTATTTGTTTTTTGACATGTCCATTTTTATGTTAGTGTCTAACAATTTTTATTAAAATCAATTAAAAGTGTTTTATGTAAATTCTCGACTTACAGATAGATAAAGGTTAGCCATCATACCGTATTCTGTACGGTGAATTTGCGGTCTCCGATCGGCAATTATTTTAGGCTAAATAATTCAAAGTGTTGGACTACTTTTTGGAGTTTTTTACACCGATTTCATTAATAAACAATTTGAAATTAAATTCTTGATGGGAATCGTAAATTTTTCATCATATTTTTGTGTGATTTTAGCATTCTTTAGATTGTGATTAGACATTTTCCGGCTCAAATTGCCGTGCGAGATTTTCTCTCATTTCACAAATTTCTCTGAGATTTTGGTGATTTTTTTTGCGAGAAATCGCGGAAATCGCCCCCTAGAATGATCCCTGCGTTGGTCCACCCAATCTACTGTTTTTTTTGCCCCAACCCCCAATTAAAAAAATTGGATGAGGGGTGAAGTGTCTTACTGATTTTAGGGGTGAAGTGTCTTGAGGGGTGAAGTGCGGGTGAAGTGTCTGGAGGGTGAAGTGTCTTGCTACCCAATGCCTTAGGTTAAGGATTATAAAATATGGATTTTACTGCAGAAAGATTTTAAAATTGTTCCAATTCAACCTTTTAACTAAGTGAAAAAAATCTCTGTTAATGTATAGATCTACACGTTATATTTTTTAAAAATTTACCGGCAAAAAAAAAATAATATCGAAAGTAGATGTATAAACAATCATAAATTATGCTAGACTTTACAAGAGTTGTAATGTATCATAGTATATTTGTGAGGTATTACAAAACTGCTATTAAAATAACAAACATTTGTGATGAAATACTTTTAGATAGTATTGTAAATCACTTATCATTTACCAAATAATACGGATCACGTTCCCGCTCCGCCATCTTTAATGAAGAGTATCTTAAATCGAATAAAACCCGTATAAGTGACGGTCCATTCGGTATCACTGCAAAGACCCACAGCATACTTCTTACTCTCGTGTTTATGTATTTGTATGCATACTGAGATAATCAAATAATCTTGGAAAACCATTAGGAAATTTAATGCCTTTGATGAATGTATAAACTACAACAACTCATTATCTTTGTGCAAATCAATAATGAAGAACGACACATAAGAAAATTCATGCAGCATGGCCTCAAGGAGTTAAGTTATACTGCACTTTTTTATCCTCGCTTTCCAATGGATACACATGACGTTTATGGCTTTATATACACTATTGCTACCAATTCTTGAAGAAATCTCTTTTTGTATTCTCTAAAAAAAGGAAGTTCGCCTTATCATAAAGTCGTTATCAATATTATTAATTGACAGTTCTATATCTACAAACAAGCGATTATCTCGGGGCATATAAAGATTTAATGAATACTTGGCAAAAAATCAATAAAGAATATATGTATTCTTTTTAAATCTCTTTTATAATGTATACAGTACAAAAAAATATTATATAAATGTAACAGATTCTTGAATGTTTAGAAATCCATACAATCAGAATTTTGCACTTATTGGTTTTTTTACACAATTATAGCTGTTTGACTTCCTGATCGCTACAGGTCTTTCAATAACTTTTTAATTGGAAGACTCTGTTTGCTATCACCAATTCGCATTTAGTTTTTTATTGTAAATAAAGTTTCAAGTTCCACTTACATAGCCTATTTGCAGTTACAGCTTTATTGTAGTTTGGGAAATGCATCATATGTTTTTCAAATATACTCGAGATTATATGACTGAAATCCATTAGTTTGACAATTTCTTAATTTATATTTTACTTTTCCCCCAATTTTCCCCAAGTAATGCTTCCCCCTTTTCTCTTCTGTTTTTTGTTGTTTTTTTTTTCTGTTTGTTGTTTTGTTTTTTTTGGGGTTTTTTTGGTACCATGCTGGGCTCCTTGCCAAAGGCCCTATGTTGCTGGTTTTTGCACTTTCCAATACCGAACCATGAAAAGGTTCAACCAAACATTTAAATTTGGAGGTTCTAGGCATACTTTGCGGATTCCGTTTTTCTCTATTTATTGGCACATAAGTTTTCTTGTGCTGTGTTAAGGCCGTAAAAAAGTAGTCCCGTACATATAAACGACATTATTGTTGTGTGTAAATGTTTGTGGTATTTTGAGCTCTTTCTAAATTTGACCTTTTTTAACTTGGATGGTGCCAGTATTCCTACATGAATACAATATATTCACCCTTAGGATATGGTGCCTGCTTTATTAATTTGTCTTGACGTCTTGCTCGTGATATGCATGCTTCATAACCTTGATCCCCTTTCAATATTCCATTTTATTTAGTTCTGCCATTGTTTTCTCGTTTGGGTCACACAATATATATTATTTTTATTTAGAGACCATATGCCGCTTCTTTCGTGTCACAGTGAAGGGTTCCGTGACAACCACTGCGGATGTTTCTAAAGTGAAAATTTCACCATTTTCATGTATAAATGTTGAATTCTGCCTAAGCCGTTACTAGAAGGCGTGTGGACACTAGACTGCTCTTGACAGTACCGTCCATGAACAGGCTCAATCAAACGGAGAGAAAATAATGTGTGTGCCCTAAAAGAGAAAAAAATGGTTAATATAAAATGTCAGTAATTTTAAACAAATTTTTGTGCTCCTAGTTCTTAAGTCTCACACTTGTTGTTGACATAACCCGATCTGTGAGTTTGTTTTTTTTTTTAAATTTTATCTGATTTCAATCTTTAATTTAATTTATTAAATTTATTAAATTTACTTGTATGAAATATTATTCTAATTTGTTCAGAGACGTTAAAATACAAAATGTACATTATATGTCTCTGATTTGTTAAACCGTTATTTTTTTTATATGTACTGTACTATATCTTTTATGTTTTTTTCAAAATGTAAAGTTCTGTGATCTCTAAATATGATATTTCAAAAATAAAAAATAAAATGACACACGGGTTTTACATACAGACTTTAGACATACTGTACGTACGAGAGTTATCGTTCTTGAAAAGGAAAAATCGATAAATTGGCCAAAACATCTGCAATTTACGTCACTGCGCATTATGCCAACAAACAGCTAAAATGGGTAATTCTGATACAAAATTGAATTTCAGGAAGGCCGTGATTCAGCTTACGACGAAAACACAGGTATTTACCCATAAACTATTATTTGTTTCCTTTTTATCAGTTTTATGATGGTATCAAGAGAAAGTATGTTAAATAAATATCGCACCCATCACCAGAATAATTATTGGGTGTCAGACCCAGAATCCCCTGTGGTCAGACCTGGCTTGAGCCACGTTGAGGGGGCAGTCACACAATGATCACTGCACTTTAAGTTACACTTTAGAGGTAATGCGTTTTTAATCGTATCAGTTGCATAACTATAATCCCAGGCAAGTTATATTTTCAACTACCAGATAGAGGGATTTTGATTTCCATTTATAAAAGATAACATGTATTTTTGTAGTGCTCAGACCAGCAATAATATGCACATTTTTTCCCCTTCTAGGTTTTGTCAGAATGAATTTTTATACAATAACATATAATTTTTTCATGTTCTAAACGATAGTTCATAATAACTAGGCCTATACTAAACATGATAAACAAGACACAACTCAAATTCTCATTCAGTCATTGGAGTCAAACGGTTGTACTAGATGATGAACACTAGTCTCTACAGATATCCCTGTTATTTTGGCGTCCCCCTGTCTTTGGGCCCACTCTGTTTTCTCATAGATCTTTATAAATGTACTTCCATCTTCAAAAAAAAATCGAGAATTAAGGCAACAGCGCAAGGCAATATTCATGGTGCAGGTCCGACACAGTTTCCCAAGCCACAAATCCGCCACTTTACAGATGACACTGTGGTTAATATCAATGTAAACTCTTCCTGAAACTCACATGTTTACAAAAGGATCTCAATAAGATGAAGATGAAAATATAAAACCCTATTAAGACACAAGCTAGAATATGCATCAACTCTGGTCCAAAGACAAGCATTGCACTTTGTAAAACACCACTAAGCATGCTGGAAGTTCTTGGCTGGCATTCTCTTGAACATTGCAGATTAGACTTTAGACTGATAAGGTTTTTCAAAACTTACCATATAAACTAGTAGCCACTAGGTTTAGTACCTACATTAAAACTACATCTAGGGTTACTGGACATATGCAAAGCCCTCGTTGTATAATGATGCACATCAGAATGATAAACAGTGATTTTATCAAGTGATAAAATCACCGATTTTGATATATAATTTCAATTCAATTTCTAAAACAAAGTTAAGAGATAAATGCTGCTGTTCTTGATATTAAGCTAAATTGTGTCTGATTTGTTTCTGTAAGAACTTACTTCCAGCTCATCGCATTTTTATTGGTTCACATGTCTAAATATAGAATGGTAACTGAACAGTGATTTTATTGCATAATGACACACTTTTGGTTCTTCTATGTTCAATAGGGGAAAATGCCGGTTGTGTTAGAATTATATTTAATTTTGCTTTGAAAACAGATTGGGATATACTAACCTACATAGTTCTTTCATCAGGGTTATTTCTAGTAGCCTGTGATGGAAGCCGAATTGAATAATAATCTTATCATTGATTTTAGCATTGAAGAATTATGACAATTTCTAGCAATGTATCTCAGGTGAGCAACCCAGGACCATCATGTCTATCTTGTTTTTGCTGAAAGTAATATGTGTTTTTGAACTATTTGAATATGATTTCTTTGCCCCAGAAGGTAAAAATATCTCCTGTTAAACTAGAATGCCATGATTTGCTGTATAGCATCACCTTTTGGTCCTATTTAAAAAGGTATATCAGGCTGTGGGTTTATGAAGCATACATGTATATTACCTTGTCTTTGTGGTGCTCTTGTGTTTTAGAGACAGCATAGTTCTACTGTTATAATCTTCACTGAAAAGTAAGTTTAAAAGGTTTTGTGTGTTTAAAGACTTTGTAGCTAGTGCACTAGTACTTTTTGTCTATTATGTAAACATTACATACGCTTACTTTTCAGCCAATAGAAGCTAGTGATGAAGCATTTTGGGAGCAGTTTTGGTCAGAGAGTGTGACTTGTGTGCAAGATGTATTTACATTAATTCCAGCAGCTGAAATACGAGCTTTAAGAGAAGAATCTCCATCAAATTTAGCTACACTATGTTACAAAGCTGTAGAGAAATTAGTAGCTGCTTCAGAGAGTGGTTGTCCATCTCAGAGAGAACAGCAAATAGGTAATTATTGTTCATACATTACAGCATAGTCAAATACATGTATATCAATGTGTTAGTTAATTTAATTGCCAGAAATTTCGGGAGCTTTATGATTCCTCTAACTAAATGTATCCCTGAACTGTTCTGTAGCAACAGTATTACAAACATCTATTCTTATACTTTAAGTAACAATACATAAGGAGAACCCATTCTGTTAAATTTTTCAACTTTTTAATATGCTGGATACAGAACCAGAAAATCTCAATATTTCCATGCATAATCAATGTACAAACTTCCAGTCTTGACTTGCTTGTTCATATAAGTATTGATAACTTTACTAGTAAATGTCTGTAATGAATCATATTTAAGATCAACAAATATATTCATGTCAGTGTTACCAATTTATTAACTGTTTGGCATACAAGAATTGAAAATACGATGTTTGAAAATATGCTGCTATTGTGACTGCCCAACGCTAAATTTGACTTATCTCATTGTTTACTAGTTATGTTCAATACTGACCATTTCTTAACCAATGAGGGGAATTTATTTTCCCACTAATTTGCTATGCTAGTATAAAGCTTCCAGATAATGATTTTTTGTGCTTTTACTGCCTGTTTACAATTTTACTTGAGTTTTTTTTTCTTCTGATTTCCATTAATGTGTTAATCAAACATAATAGTGAGGAACTAATTAGTTATGATTTTTTTGACAAACTGTATGAACCAGAGTTAATGTCCTATGAGAATCAGTATAACAAGCTTACAATGCCAGTGATATTACTCTGTATAGAACAGAGGCCTATAAAAGGCCTCTTCCCAATGCAAACTTTCTTTAAAATCATGCAGTTTTCCCAAAAATCTGAACTTACACCAGCTTTGTTTCTACCCAAATCAGCAATTTTAGCATTGATTCTTCCAAAATACAAGAGGCTAAGGCCTCTTCCAAATAAAGCGAGAAAAATCACTGAATGTTAAAAATTGTTATATACTATACATTTAGGTTTTTCTTTTGATGTTTGAAAAAAGTTATTTTCAGCTACGACTCCCAGTGTATGTAAAAGATAATTTAAAAAACTTTTATAAGACTAGTTGAACAAGGGATAATATTGAAAATTTTGGTGTAATTTTTTCAGTGCTGAACTGTGTTAGATTATTAACAAGGGTGTTGCCATATATATTTGAAGACCCAGATTGGAGGGGTTTCTTCTGGTCAACATTACCAGGTCAAGTTGAAGATGCTGAGGTATAGTTTCTGTCATACTGCTGTCATACATTATCTGTAACGTTTTTTTTAGTTGTGTAAACATGGTATCTTTTTGATTGATTACAAAATTTGTATCACAATTCAGATCCTAAAATCTTAAAAACTTAATGTTGTATTTTAAGTAGCACTATAGACTGTTTATATTTACAAAGTTTATATTGCTATTATTGTTTATGATTGTCAATCAGAGAGAATAATTTATGACTGAATGATGAAGCATGTTTTATTATTTCAGAATGACAGTCCTCCCCTGGCACAGACATTACTGAATGCACTTTGTGTAAGCAAATCATAGACTTTTATTATAATTGATATTTGAAGTTAAATGTTGTGTTGAAATTAGTTTTAGAACAAATAGAAAGTCTTTTTTAATTGTCAAATTTTATGTACCTCACTGTCTTACTGACATGTGAGCTTGTCCCTCTAAATATGATATAGAACAGATATTTATATATCTATTTACTATAAGGCTGGTGTATTTTGATCTTTTTAGCTATCAATGTAGAGTTAGGACATGCCTACATGTTTTGACTTTTGGCTTAAGTTACAAGTCAAGTTATTTTCAAAATGTATTTTTTAGGATTTGTTGTTTTGTCCTGAGTTCAGTGTTGCATCTGGTAGAAAGTCTGGACCTGTAAGTTGATTTCTATATTAGTATATCTTGATTATTGATACACTGTTCACCCAATAATGCCTCTTTCAAGATAGAGGCTGTATTTCTCTAATATAGTAAGTGATGTAAAATATATATAAAGATATGAAACATAAAGATAGCAGAAATTTTCATTAATATTTGAAACTTTATAATGGCTTATTGTAGGAAACCTTAAGTTTGCAGAAAATTTCATGAATGCATGAAACTTAAAGATGACAGAAAATTTAGTCTTCATTAATTAATGTACAAAGTAAAGTTAAAGGTATCTGTTTCGCTATGTGAAAGTCATGAATACTGTGCTGCCTTTGGTAAAAGATTTAGGATGTGTTATGTTAGAAAAATATAAGTAGCTTTATGTTCAAGTGGTTATTTTCACTGATTTACTTTGAGTATTCATATATAATATCACTGATATAGTTATGTCTAAAATCCAACATATGAGCTGCGTCATGACAAAACCAACATAGTGGGTTTGCGACCAGTATGGATCCCGACCAGCCTGCGCCTCTGCGCAGTCTGATCAGGATCCATGCTGTTCGCTTACCAACTCTATTATAAGTAAAGAAACTGATAGCGAACAGCATGGATCCTGATCAGACTGCGCGGATGCTGGTCTGGATCCATGCTGGTCGCAAACCCACTTTGTTGGTTTTGTCATGACGCGGCTCATATTTTGTTACAATTATTTAATATATCAGGATAATCCTGAAGATATGACTACTATAGACAGTTGTGAATATATCTGGGAAGCTGGTGTTGGCTTTGCACATTCTCCTCAACATAATCTTCAACATGACAACAATAGGAGTGAAATCATTAAACTGTTGCTAACTTGCTTCTCAGAAACAATGTATCTACCACCCATAGGTATGTTCAGTTATTGTTTCTTTATTTGTTTAGTTACTGATAATACATTGTGTTAGCATACACTGGCTATTAGCATACACACTTACTTTTTTTTAGCAACATTTGAGATATATTTTAGGTTGTAAGTAAATAGTGTGTTTTTTGTAATTTTTGTATTTTTTTCAGTTGCATTGTAAAAGATGATGGAGCAACTGTTAATTACAGATTGATGTAGTATTACATGTTGGCCTGCAATCATTCATTTCATAAGTTCAATTTTTTCCAAGATTATGTTTGTTCATAAAATGTATGAAATCTATATAATTTACATGACATTGTATTCAGTTTAGTATCAGTGATTTAACATTATTACATATCGATCCTCTCATATATGATGAATATCTTATAGCTGATGCGCACAGCACACCCAACCAGTGGATACATTTCTTCACCTCAACAGAGAACAGGTACTTTTTAGCATTTCATATCAAAGTAATGTAAATAAGTTTTAGCTTAACTATTCAGTGACATTTGCATTGTTAAAACAGTCGTCTTAGGTTTTGCGTAAATTTTTATTTTCCTTAAACCAATGAAAATATACACTATAATCAACACACAAGTCTCTTGTGTGGTGGCCACAAATTCCACAATCATTGTTATTGTACAAGATTTTACAACCCTAGGGTTGAATTTTAATGAAGTCTCTTTTTATGAAATTAGAAAAAAATCTGATCCTTACAGTTATCATTTTGTTTAGTTGACAAGCATATACCACTACTTCTTGTGTAAATTTATTAAACAAATGTTCAAACTTAACACACAAATTATATTAAAAGCTTTTTTCTCTTATGATATATCACAAAAAATTATTGTAGAAACAAACCTTTTCAAATTAGACAAACCAGTTATAAGTGTTCATAAGAAAGCTAACAATCTATGATGGTGTGTTTATATTAATGTTCTGTTGACACATCTGTAATTGTTTTTTTCTAGGCATGCTTTACCATTGTTTACTTCATTGATCAATGTGGTGTGTGCCTATGATCCCGTAGGGTATGGTCTACCATACAATCATCTCATGTTCACTGATTCTCGCGAGGCATTGGTCGAATCTGCCCTGCAGGTACTCTGTGTTACCATGGAGAATGATTCAGCCAATCAGAATGTGTCTGTAGATGGTACTGCTGGGGGAACAGCCATGGAACCACAGAATGAGGTCGCAACTGCCCAGGAAAATGTATTATTTGTGTTTAGCCCTATAAAAAATTCCAGTAGTTTTTTTTTCCAAATCTCCTTTAAAGATACAGGCAAACCCTCTTTTTAAAATATTAGATTCAACTCTGACTGGCATACCTAATCAAATTAAACATGAGCATAAGATTACTTCAAAATGCATAAAATTGAAATTAACACAATATTCCCCTTTAAAACAGATGAGTGCAAGTTGCAGGTGCATTATTACATGATATATGCACAGCAAAAAAAATGAATGGTTACATGCCATATATGACATCAAGAAACCAAATGACATCAAGAAAATTACTTCTATACTTATGTTAGTTTTACATGTTTTTATCAATTCAATTTTTATGAGCATGTTAGAATTAAAATATATATTAGTTATAATAATGCCTGGTTATTGTTTAAATGCTTTATTATAAATCAATCAGGGCCCATAGGCGTTTAATTGTATTTCTTTGGATTTGAACATGAAGAATGCATTATTCTACAACAATGCACTCAAAATTGATATATTTTTCCTAAATATATAATAATCAAGGAAGCTGTAAGTTTAAAAAATTTTAATTTCTATTTCAGGCAACATCTACAGACAATCTGTTTGTGAATTACCTGTCAAGAATACACAGGGAGGAGGTAATGTTTAAATTCAGGTGTTCTGTTTCAAGTTAAGAAAATAATAGATCAGTTACAGGGATGAAATTTTATATATGTATATAATTATTCTTCTAAAAGAATTTCCAAACATTTAAGAATATGTTAAATATGAACTGCAAATTTAAGTAATCATTAAAATATATGCATTCATTTACATTGAAAAATTTAGACTTAGACTTTATGGAAAAATGAATTCTAATTACCTCCCTTTATTTAAATGAAGTGTAAATTCGGTAATATTTTTATGAATAATAGTTTTTGGAACTTACAATATTGATAAATCTTTATTTGAATATCATACCATAAAATCCTGATTTATCGCCTGGGGGGTGGGGGGGGGGGGGTGTAACATTTTTCAATAAAGATAAAAAAGATTTAAAAGAAAAAAGAAAATTCTCTCTCTTCAAATGATGTAATAAAATCCACAAACACATCATCATCCTTTCAACCTATGATACTTTGATCTACACCGCAAGCTCTCTGTAATTTCCCTCCCAAAAATTCCCTGACATCCTCCTTGCAGTTGACACCTTTGATCTTGCCGACAATCTGACATAATTGATGCTACTTTCTTAATTTACGATGCGTCAGCAGGACCCACTTCCAGATCTCTGTAGTTGTTCAGGTGCAAAGCTATATCGGTTGTGTGTGTAATTTAAATATGTTTACCGTTTTGTGTTTTTTAACAGTTACTGTTTTCACGAAGACTACACTTTTTTTTTGAGAACTTTAAAGTGTTAAAGTTTTGATTCACGGTATTTTTCATGAACGGAATGATATTGGATATTTAGTTTCTTAATTTTCTTTTATTTTCTTTGTTTAAATTATACACAAGGTTTTCAAAAGTGGGTGGGGGTGTTAATTAGTGTGGGGGCATTAAATCAGGATTTTACAGTATTTATGATATAAAACCATAAAAAAATTTAAGTTACAGGATCTTTTATAAATATTGCAAAACATTTTCACATGTTTATCATTGTTATTGAAAAGCTATGTGTCTATATGAATAAAGCATTAGAAACTTGTGAAAAAACAACAACATTTTGATATTTCTATTGAAAATAAACTTTTTAATTATGAGATGGTTTTGTTGCAGGATTTCCACTTCATCTTGAAAGGTATAACAAGGCTTTTAAACAACCCACTGATGCAGACCTACCTACCTGGATCTACCAAAAAAATACAGTTTCATCAAGAGTTACTGGTACTGTTCTGGAAAATGTGCGATATAAATAAGGTTAGATATTTTAGTGAATTCATTTTTTAAGGCATGGAGAGTTAGATTAACTTAACTAATTTGAATATAATAATGTGCTTAACAAGAATTATCATATGTTGTCAAACTGTACAAAACTAAGTACAGAATACTTTTAACCAGTCCACACTGTCACAACATATACTAATGTCTCCTGTTGATTTAGCATGTGTTGTGTAATGCCTGATATGGTTGATCTATTCAAAGCATGTCAACCAGTTTATCTCCATGATGAAGTAACAAGTGTAATATACATTTTGTTCAATTAAACTCACAAGTTTGTGAGTTACTATAAAACAAGTAGTGGATTGATTTTTATGCCACCGCAGCATCTGCGATGCGGTGGCATATAGCGATTCACCTGTGTGTGTGTGTGTGCGTGTGTTTGTGTGTGTGTTTGTGTGTGTGTTATATAGATTATATAGTGAACTTAAAAAATCTTCTTGTGAAAAACCACTAGTCCAATTTCAACCAAACTTGCCAGGATTGTTCCTTGGGTGAAGGGCTTCCAAAGTTGTTCAAAGAATTTCATTCCATGCAGAAATCTGGTTGCCATGGCAACCAAAAGGAATTATAAGAATAAATTAAAAAAATCTTCTTGTAAAGACCCAAAAGGCCTAGAGCTTAGATATTTTGCATAAGGCATTGTCTGGTAGACCTCTAACAAGATTGTTCAAATTATAGCCCTGGGGTCAAAATTGGCCCCGCCCCGGGGGTCATTGATTTTCACTATGTACATATAGTAAAAACTTAAAATACCTTCTTGTAAAAACCCAAAAGGCCTAGAGCTTAGATATTTTGCATAAGGCATCGTCTGGTAGACCCTTACCAAGATTGTTCAAATTATAGCCCTTGGGTCAAAATCGGCCCCGCCCCGGGGTCATTGATTTTCACTATATGTACATATAGTAAAAACTTAAAACACCTTCTTGTAAAGACCCAAAAGGCCTAGAGCTTAGATATTTTGCATAAGGCATTGTCTGGTAGACCTCTAACAAGATTGTTCAAATTATAGCCCTGGGGTCAAAATTGGCCCCGCCCCGGGGGTCATTGATTTTCACTATGTACATATAGTAAAAACTTAAAATACCTTCTTGTAAAAACCCAAAAGGCCTAGAGCTTAGATATTTTGCATAAGGCATCGTCTGGTAGACCCTTACCAAGATTGTTCAAATTATAGCCCTTGGGTCAAAATCGGCCCCGCCCCGGGGTCATTGATTTTCACTATATGTACATATAGTAAAAACTTAAAACACCTTCTTGTAAAGACCCAAAAGGCCTAGAGCTTAGATATTTTGCATAAGGCATTGTCTGGTAGACCTCTACCCAGATTGTTCAAATTATAGCCCTGGGGTCAAAATAGGCCCCGCCCCGGGGGTCATTGGTTTTCCTTATATGTATATATTAAAAACTTATAGTAAAAACTTCAAAAAAAATTCTTCTAGCAATTGACAAATGCTAGAGGTTAGATATTTTGCATGAAACATTGTGTAGTAAACCTCTAGCAAGATTGTTCAAATTATAGCCCTGGGGTTCATTGATTTCAATATATACATATAGTAAAAAATCAAAAAATCTTATTGTCTGAAGGTACAAGGCTTAGAGCTTTATCATTTGTTAAATAATATCATCTAAAGGTACTCTACAAAAGTTATTCAAATTTTGCCTCTTGTGTCAAAATTAGCCCCGCCCCCGGGGGCCATAGGTTTTCCTTATATGTATATAGTAAAAACTTAAAAAATCATCTTCTCTAAATTTACAAAGGCTAGAGTTAAGATATTTTGCATGAAACATTGTGTAGTGAACCTCTTGCAAGATTGTTCAAATTATAGCCCTGGGGTCAAAATTGGTTCCGCCCCGGGGGTCATTGATTTTCATTATGTACAAATAGTGAAAAAATAAAAAATATTTTTGTCTGAAGGTACAAGGCATAGAGCTTTGATGTTTGATATATAATATCATTTATAGGTCCTCTACCAAAGTTGTTCAATTTTTACCCTGGTGTCAAAATTGGCCCTGCCCGGGGGCAGTGATTCTCATTATGTACACATAGTAAAAACAGAAAATAAAACAAATGTTTTCTGAATGGGAGAAAGCTATAGCTTAGATATTTGACTTGAAATGTCGTTTGGTGGACCTGTCTCAAAATTGCTTTGAATTAAACCCTTGGGTCAAAATTATGCCTTGCCCAAGGGGACAGTGACCTACTTTCTTGTCCTTTGATGTACAGCAATGACATTTTGACCATGTGCACAGTTTTAGTTGTAAAATTGAACTTTGAAATCAGGTGACCTAGATTTTGATGATGTGACCTACTTTCTTGTCCTTTGATGTACAGCTATGAAATTTGAACCATGCGGTGGCATAGCATTTTTCTCAAATGCAATCTTGTTTTTCTGGTACTATTGTACTATTGATTAAATATAAAAAAAGGTGAGAATTGTAGGTTTGGAACATATCAGTTTCCAAAGTGATCTCCAAAGTACAATCATTGAGTTACCAACCGTGTAAAACTTGGTTCATGCAGTCTGACCTGGCTCTATATTGGTGGCAAAGGCTAATCATTTATGATTCCAGAAGGATAAGGGTTGATGAAAGAATGTAAAAATGTATAAGTTAAGATAAACAAAATTATTTAAAATGTTATTCATATTTTGCAGAAATTCATGTTTTATGTGTTAAAAAGTAGTGATGTTTTGGATATACTGGTGCCAATATTGTATTACCTGAATGATGCCAGAGCTGATCAATGTAAGTTTATTGAGTTTCTCAATTAACTCATATTATATAAATTTCTACCCAAACATAACATTTGACTGAATTTTACACACTGCTTAATGTACATATATATTACAACAATATATATATAAAAATGATTTTGCAGAAATTCATCAGAGTTAAGATTGTATGGAAATGTCACTGTTATTCCTGACAAGTTAAATATGAGCCGTGCCACGACAAAACCAACATAATGGGTGTGGGACCTGCAAGGATCCAGACCAGCCTGCACATCAGGATCCTTGCTGTTCACTATCAGTTTCTCTACTTGTTATAGAGTTGGTAAGGGAAAAGCATGGATCCTGATCATGCTGGTCGCAAATACACTATGTTGGTTTTGTTGTGACGCGGCTCAATTATCTTTTGTATAAAAGGCAACACAATAAAATGGCTCTTTTCTTGTATAGTATTGTCTTCTGGAAAGAGCTAGTGTCAAACATTTCAGCATATATTTATTCATGATAGGATTAAAGAAAAAAAATGCTTCTTAGCTTAAAGATTTAAGAAACATTTGTATAGATTGTGAATGATTGTCATTTGTATATATTGTGAATGATTGTCATTTGTATAAGTTGTGAATGATTGTCATTTGTATATATTGTGAATGATTGTCATTTGTATATATTGTGAATGATTGTCATTTGTATATATTGTGAATGATTGTCATTTGTATATACAGTCGACTCTCGTTATCTCGAAGTCATCGGGACCGTCCAAAAAATATCGAGATAACGAAATGTCGAGATAAACATATTAGGGTTTGAATAAGGCAGAAACTGATTTTTACAAAAGACATGTGCATACCTTATGTCAAATAAACTATGATATCCCCATGTCTTGTTTTCATAGGCCTAGTCAATATTTAACAAAGTAACATTAGTGGATGTTTACCAGCGGAAATACGGGTTTCTGTGATAAAAACACATAGTGAGGTTTACTCAGTAATACACCAATATAGTGAAAACATTGTTTTCAGGGTGGTTGATCCGGATATCTTCCCGGGTTATTTATCGGGTCTTTCTCGATGTTGTTCGACCACTGATTGATTTGGTGGTGATGTTGTGAAACAATATTGCAACGATAGCGTTTCTATACTTTCACTATTTCATTTACATGAATTGATACAGTGTTCGAATATTTATAAAGAACGTAAAATTCACTCATTTTGGACATAAGTCAATCAACACCCTAAATAGATTAACTTTTATAAAAACAGCTAAACATGTTACAAACATAATCATCATTATGACACGCGCTATTGAGCAATTATCGTCTAGTTTGTGTTTTTCACACGTCTGAAGGGAACAGACGAAAGAAAACTATTAGTCGAGATAAACAAAGGATAATAGTGTGAAAATAACTGTTGGGGCTGAAATTGTACATCGAGATACTGAAAATATCGAAATAAAAATATCGAGATAAACAAATATTTCCAATATAGATAAAGAAGGAAGAAAATCGGGACTTTCAAAATTTCATCGAGATAACGAAATATCGAGAAAAGCGATGTCGAGATAACGATAGTTGACTGTATTGTGAATGACTGTCATTTGTATAGATTGTAAATGATTGTATATTTTCAGCTCGTGTTGGCTTAATGCATATTGGAGTTTTTATACTGTTATTACTTAGTGGAGAGAGAAATTTTGGAGTAAGGTTGAACAAACCATATACAGTGAGAGTTCCCATGGATATACCAGTATTTACAGGCACTCATGCTGACTTTCTCATCATTGTAAGTATATTAGTACATGTATAAATATATTAATATGAGATTATTTATACAAAAAGTTGCGGTTGTTTAGTTTCTGGCTTTTGACTACTAGTCCAAGAAATTTGTGAAAAAATTGTGCACCTTCTGTGAAAAGCATGAAACTTGGCATGGTGTCAAGGAATGGTATTTCAAGTTATTTCAGCCTGGGATCCACTTTTTAAAAATCCAAGATGGACGCCAAAATCCAATATGGCCGCCAAAATGTAAAATATACACTTGGCATGTCAATTTGAAGTTATTTATGACTAGAAAATGATATAAATTGACATTATAGGTCAAAAATAATAATTTCTTGGAAAAATGCTTAAGTAGCATTGGTAGAAAATTCAATATGGCTTCAAAATCCAATATGGCTGCCATTAAATGATGATATTTTGACAAATTTCTATAATAAAGGTAATGTGTATCATCAACACTTTTAATACATGAAACAAACTAAAAAAGTGGTATTCCTGCATAAAACTGCATATACAGATGTACATTTACAGAGAAAAAAACTTGCATTTATTGATAAAACCATGCAAGCACATTATTTAGCTTGATATTTCAAAGAATAGGGAGCAAGTGATATTGTACACCAAAGGCGTCAGCTTTACAAGTTTTTCATGCAAGTTGGTTTTGTAAAAAAATCATGATGGAATACGTTAAACCCTAATACACTAATTTGTTAGCATAATAGAAGGTCACCGTTAAAGGTCAATGACTCTATCGTGGATTTTGACAGAATTATGGCCCTTTTAAATATAGAGAATTCTTCATAATCTAGGTTCTTGTTTAGCTATAAAGCACCAAGAACAGTCTAACACTTTATGATGTCCTACCAATAGCTCTTGTCAATGTGCATGATTCTGATACCATGCAAAGCCGCTGATTTTAATAATTATCCCCAGTTACCTTGTTATCAAAACATAACACACAAAAATTAAAGTTAAAATCAATACAAAACTAGTTTCTTTATGCGGAAAACAACATATCGTAGAATCACCGAAACAGAATGACTAATACATTATTTTGTGCATCAACATTTACAGAAATTGAAACCTGAGCCCATAGAATGAGGGCTCATAATGCGTCTTCACGCTTCTGTAGATGTTAATGCATGAAAAGTGTGAATTAATCCTTTATTGTATTGTATATTTTAGTCAAACAATTCCTTAGCTTAATTGAACCAAATGTTCAGTATGATTTATACCAGTTAGTGTCGGAGAATTAAGGGTTTCTTATCCTGTCAATTCTTTTTAATAAATTTAGTTTGCATCATCCTTGTGATCGTCTTACTGCAGCTGTGAGTTCTTTTTCATTAGTAATTTAAGCAGCATATATTTTGTGTCATAGATAACGGAATCAGACTCTTATTATGTCATTATTTTGGCAAGGTCTTGTGAATAAACAAGAAAAACAGAATGAATGAATGATATTGAACAAAAATATCTTGGGTTTTCTGTAATCATACTTAAGTGTTTGACATTATTAAGATTAGTAATTCGTTACTTTATATGAGATCAAGTTTAGACTTTTGCAGCTCTTTCTATTTGATAATTTTGATATGAGATTCCATTTGTAAGATTGAGATACTAACTTACTGACTTACTGCGAATTTCTGTGCTGCAGGGGCAACGCTCTTAAATTTCTTGTTAATTTCTCCCTTTTATATTTTAAAGCAGTTGAAATGCCTGTTTAAGCCTTTCATAATCATATGTATTTTCTGATATTACAGAATAATAGTTGATTTATAATCTCAGTTGTTTGTTGTCGTTTTTTTGTATTTCAAAAACAATGGAAACTTAACAAATTATAAATTGTTTACTTAGATTAAATAATTTCTGTTTGGTTTCCAAAACTGCCATAAAAGGACAAGTGAAATCATGCCGCATTTAGCTTAATTCATGAGGTTGTCATTTCTTCAGCTTTTTTATTTTATTTTTAGCTCGACTTTTCTATGAAAAGGGGAGCTATCCTACTCGCCCCGGCGTCGGCGTTGGCGTCGGCGTTGGCGTCACACCTTGGTTAAGTTTTTCGTACCACCCCACTTTATTTCAGAAGTATTACAAGTATGGCTTTGAAACTTACCATACTTGTTCACCATCATAACCTCCATCTACAGACAAGAGTACATAACTCTGTCAAGGTTTTTGACAGAATTATGGCCCTTTTTTGACTTAGAAAGTGTATTGAGCTTGGTTAAGTTTTTTGTACCACCTCACTTTATTTCAAAACCATTGGAGGTATTGCTTTGAAACTGACCATACTTGTTTACCATCACGACCTTCATCAACAGACAAGAGGACATAACTCTGTCAAGGTTTTTGACAGAATTATGCCCCTTTTTGACTTAGAAAATACATTGAATATGGGTAAAATCCACTTATTGCCTTAACCCTTTGAGATATTGCTTTGAAACTTTTAATGCTATTTCACATCATTACCCCCATCTGTACGCAAGAGAAGGTAACTCTGTCAGGGATTTGTTTTAAAAATTAAGGCCTTTTATCGACTTAGAATCTTGGTTAAGTTTTTTTGTACCAGTCAACTTTTTTGACTGAACTGGTTGAGATATTAAATTGAAAGTTGGAATACTTGTTTACCATCATGGTCCCAAACATGGGCAGGAGAAGGTAATTCTGTTAAGGATTTTATTTGAATTATGGCCCTTTTTGACTTAGAAACTCAGTTAAAATTTTCATTCTTGTCCACTTGTTGACCTAACCATTTGAGATATTACTTTGGAAGTTGGAGTTCTTATGTGCCATCATGAGACCTATCTGTAAACAAGAGAAGATAACTCTGTGAAAATGTTTCTTGATTTGTACTTAGAAATTCCTAGTTAAAGTCTTGTGTGCCCTTAACTGTCAAAGTTTTGTTTTATAGGCAAGCACTAAAAAAGTCGAGCGCGCTGTCCTTCTGACAGCTCTTGTTTTATTTACTCCTAGAATCACAACAACAATGAACAATTGACCTTTAACTTGACAGACATTCAGTACTAGATCAATAGGTGTTAATTATAGATAATTGACTAAAGTTTTCTTGTTTATACTGATTAGTATTAGTTGATAACACTTTAAACATTACCTTGCTTAAGTTAGTATAAAAGCAACCTGATGTACAACTGTTGAAATATCATTATTTCTAACATTTTCAGCAATTTTCAGCAATTTACTAGCCTAGTATCCACAATTTTTTTTTTAAGAACTGGTCACTTTTGACTCTGAACATAAACTACTTCAAGTAGTCTTGGGTTACGTTTTACTTTTTATTCTTATCAAAATACAAATTACAGAGTCTAGAATTCTCTGAAATTATTATTATGAAGTGTTTTCTTTTTAGGGAAAATTACATAGCTGTTGGTAAAAATATACAAAAATGTTCTATACCATTCCTTTAGCACTTGCACACTGACCCAATAGGAGGTCAGCTACATATTATATCATTGGAATAAGGCTCAGCTTAGTTTGATTGCAAGTTGCTTGAACTTGAAATTACCTAAAATTAGCAAGAGATTTTTATTCACGGGCAGATAATGAAATTATGAGATAGTTTAACTTCCATTTTTTGTTTTAAATATTCTTTTGTATCTTTTGAGTTTTCGTAAATCAAGTAAAAATAAATCTTAGCAATTTAATTATGAGCATGTTTCAATATGAATCGGATGCTTTAAAACAGTTTCATAACTAAATGGGTGTTTGTCACAAAAACATATGTCTCCGAAAACTATGCATGGTCACTCATGTGAAGTTTCATTGAAATCCCACCAGTAACTTGACCTGTGAAAGCCGGACAATACTTTTTTATTTATAACTCTGACGACCATTTTGTGCAGCGAAGCGAAATGTGCTGGTGATGTCTGTGCACAACTAGGGATATTTCTGCTCTCTCCTGTAAAGTTTGGTTGATATTCAACCAGTAGTTTGACCAGTGAAGGCCGGGCAAGATATTTTTGCTTTTAGCTCTTGCGGCCATTTTTGCAGCGAAGCGGAATGTGACAGTGATGTCCACAACTTGGGATGGTACTGATTAGGGGGGCTGCTGTGGCCGAGTGATTAAAGTCGCTGACTTGAGATAACAGGTCCCTCACCACTGTAGGTTCGATCCTCACTCGGGTCGAAATCTTTCATGTGAGGAAGCCATCCAGCTGGCTTACGGAAGGGTGGTGGTTCTATCCAGGTGCCCGCTCGTGCCTGAAATCATGCCCGGAGCACCTGGGGTCTTCCTCCACCAATAAAGCTGGAAAAAAATTGACGAAAAATCTCGGCGGGACAGGTACTGATTACTCCTGTAAAGTTAAGTTGAAATCCCACCAGTAGTTTGACCTGTGAAGGATGGACAAGCTTAATGCGGACGAACGGACAAACAGACAGACGGCGAAGGCAAATACAATACGTCTCCCAAATATTTTCTTCATACTGGTATGGTTAAAAAACATGTAATATAATGTATTTGTGTTTTTTTTTACTAATTTGAAAATGATTACAGCTGGTAAGTTAATATATTCTGAAAAATTCAACATGGTGGCCATCTTGGATTTCAGCAAGCATGTTGGATATGCAAAACCTAGATCCAAGGCTTGAATATAAAATAATATGCAATACCATAATTTTAAATTAGTCTTATTATATACTTAACTGTTCTGTAATGACAACAGCTGAAAACTATTACATTCTGAAAATTTTAATATGGCGGCCATCTTGGATTTTGGCAGCCATCTTGGATTTGCACAACCTGGATCCGAGGCTTGAATATATATAAATGTGTAATATGATAAAGTGGTGCTATTTCATACTGACCTGTAAAGAATAAAGCTGAAAACATTTAATATTTTGAAAAATAAAAATAAATGGCGGCCATCTTGGATTTTGGTGGCCATTTTGGATTTGCACAACCTGGATCAGAGGCCTGAACATAAATTAATCTGTAATATAATGAACTGATGCTTTTTTATACTATTCTATTTATGACTACAGCTGAAATACCCAAATATTCTGAAAATTTTAATATATGGCGGCCATCTTGGATTTTGGCGGCCATATTGGATTTTTAAAAAGTGGATCCCAGGCTAAAATGAGTTCAAATACTATTTCCTGCCACCATGCCAAGTTTCATGCTTTTCACAAGAGGTGCACAATTCACCCTATTTTATGCACGGATTTCTTGGACTATACTGGTTAATAAAGTTTTTGCAAGGGACTAAACTGTGCAGGCATTTTATACACAAACTGTATGCTTATTAGTCCCCTACCGGTTTATTGGAGGGGACTTTAGGTTTACCGTCTGTCGGTTCACAAAACTGGATCCCGCGATAACTTGAAAAGTACTGAAAATATTTTTATGAAACTTGGTATATGGATAGATGGCAGTATGGAGATTATGCACGTCTTTTTCCTTTCTTCCTACGTTGAAAATTCTGGTTGCTATGGCAACAAATAGGCTAAAAATATGGCAAATTTTACACATAAACTGGATCCAGTGATAATGAAAATAGTAACAAAAATGTGTTTGTACTAAATACGCTTAAGGTCTCATAATAAAAATAAAGCGATTTGTGCTGACAACCTTCTTTCACTTTTACAGTTAAGTGTTTGATGACGTTAAAAGTGACGTCATTGTTTCAGTTTGTGGACATGCACATGTTCTGCCGGCTGATAACTAGTTCTCGGCCCTGGGCTGCAAACTCATAATAGGTCATGTGACACTCATAATCAGTTGAAATCATAGGCAATTTTGTTACTATATATAGTAACAAGTGTATTAAATATTTTTATGAAACTTGACATATGGGTAGATGGCAGTCTTCAGATTATGCATGTCTTTTTCTTTTCTTCTTATGTTGAAAATTCTGGTTGCTATGGCAACACATATACTGAAAATATGGCAAATTTTACACATAAACTGAATCCAGTGATAACTCAAAAAGTACTGGAAATATTTTTATGAAACTTGACATATGGGTAGATAGCAGTCTTGAGATTATGCATGTCTTATCTGTTCTTCCTATTTTGAAAAAAAATCAGTTGTGAAAATTTTTATGAAATTGCATCTTTATTTCAAGAGTTGTCTCCTTTTTAAGAATTTTGCTTTTAAAATGTTATATTTTGGTAACAGGGATGTTTCAAATATTAACTTTAGAGTGTCCTTCAGTCCGTCTGTTTGTCTGTTCATAAAAACTGTTTCCTGTGATCACTTTTAAAGAACTTTTCCAACAAGTTTACTTAAAATAGAGAAAAATTGAAAAATAAGAGAATGGCCAATGGCCCTTCAGAATATTGATGGGGTTCTAACCGGTAGGGGACTTATGGATTGCTTGCAATACTATTATAATTGCTTATTTTACTTAATATTTTGACAATTTTGCCCATTGTCTTGATCATGAGACATACAGAGAGGATGACTTCTTTGAATCTGATTGTTATCCCCCGCCGATGAATCGGGAGGGGGATATAGATTTGGCGTTGTCCGTCCGTCCATTCGAATTTCGTTTCCGGAGTAGTTCTCTGCAACTGCTTGCTGGAATTCAAGGAAACTTTATGGGAATCATCAATATCAAGAGGAGATGCGCATATCGTCCGCTTGTTCCAGTCCGACACTTTAACTCAGAGTTATGGCCCTTGATTAGTTATGCAGTATCCATATAGAAAAATATTTGTTTCCTCGCTACTTCTCTGCTACTACTGGCTGGAATTCAATGAAACTTTATGGGATACTAAGAGGAGATGTGCATATAGTCGCCTTGTTCCAGTCAGATACTTATAACTCAGATTTATGGCCCTTGATTAGTTATGTAGTATGCATACATCTCATTGGCATTTCCAGATTTTACTATTTAACACAAAGTTATGTCTCTGTTATTGCCCTGAATATTTATCAAGTTCAAAGAATATTACTGTTTATGCCATGATTAATATATAAATAAAGCCTTATGTCTTCAGTTGTTGTGTTAATAATAACCAGTACTCAGCGGGGGATATAAATTCAACGAATTTGCTTGTTTTCTGTTTGAATATTAATATTGAATCCTCTCTGACTTATTAATGTTTAAAATTTAAGTTTTCAGTTTTACAGTACAGTATTTGTTGTTATATAATTTCAGGTATTTCATAAGATAATCACCACTGGTCATCAAAGACTTCAGCCATTATTTGATTGTCTTCTCACTATTATTGTAAATGGTAAGATATTTTATTTTATGCTGACCAGTTAAATACTTTATATAGTATAACTGGATTGTACGATGTATGTTTTACCTAGGTCCTGAAATAATGCTGTAACTACCTTGTGTGCCTGAAATAATGCGCGGAAGGGCACCTAAGGTCTTCTTCCACCAGTAAAGCTGGAACGTTGCAATATGACCTATACTGTGTCGATGTAATGTAAAACCCGAAACAAACAAACAAGTAACTACCTTGTACTTTAATTTGGTAAAGTAACCAAAATAAAAATGTGAAAATGATTACATTATATAAGATACCGAATTTAAGCTTGTCAGCATTGTGAAACTGGGTTCATATAAACTGGTTTGCATGAAAGGATAAATTATATTGTTAATATAATGGAAGTGAGTTACATGAATTATTTTGTTTAGAAAAATGTTTGGTAACATATTTTTTTTGCCTCCGCTGTCCGTCAACTTGACCAGCTTTCAAAGGTCAAACTTCTGACAGAAATTTGACAAAATTTCGCAACCTTAATTTAGCATATCACCAACATTTTCTCTTTCATTTCACAAAAAGTTAATTAGAGTTAAAAATAGTAAATTTTAGTCAGGCTTTGTCTGTTGTTCCATCCTTAGTGTACATATGCCAGGGACATAATGTAAATGTAACAAAACCCCTGCCAGGTAGTACTGTATTTATTAAAATATACATGTAGTTATATATTTATGCCAGTAAGGGTTTAAGTGATAAATGTAAAATTCTTATTACTGTTCAAGGAAATAGCTTGAAAAAATCGTCAATAATATGTAATATATAAATATATGATAAATATTGTACAATGTTGAAGCTGCGTGCCTACAAATGAGCCAAAATATTTGACAAATTTTGCTGCATTTTTCACAATTATTTCTACTGCATAAGTAACACAGTTAGGGCAAATTTTGCATAATTGACCTCTTTTAGGTTATTTACATGGGTTGAAAGTGTTGTTTTGCAATTTGAAAATTTTTTGGGGTTCTCTCACAGTATTTTTTGATAAATTTTCAAAACATTCATGAAAATTAGCATGGATCTGGAGGCATGCTGCTTTAAGAGTTTTCGATTCTAAACATGATTTTGATTTTCTGTCACATCAAATTTTACTTAACTGTATTATATATTTTATAGTATCACCATATCTGAAGACTTTGTCAATGGTCGCAAGCACAAAACTACTGCATCTACTTGAGGTAATTTGTTTTGTCATATTTATGTGAACCCATCAAAAGGGTACATCATTGTGTGGCAGATGTCAGTTGGTGTGTCCGTCATTTGATATACCACTTCTTTTCTTTCTTTACTGTTTGTATTATTTGACATTATACCTCAAGCTTCATAGGATGATTGTCTTTATTGAGTACAACTGCCCTAAAGTTTTTGTAGTCAGTAGGTCAAAGGTCAAGTTCATTGATTGAATGATTATGAATACTATTTTCTGCTATTTCAACACTGGCCTAATGGTTGTGAGATGATAGGTTGATAAAATTTAAAGTTTATGACAGTACAGTACATGTATGTTGATTAAATAAGTAAATTACCCCTATTTTTGTTGTTGTGCTAGAATCAAAGTAACTTTTAATGAATAAAAAAATGCCACTAAATATGTATTTGATCAAAAGTCTTAATTTTGTTTTTGATTGTTGCCCTTATTTACTTGACGACCGCTGTCTTTTAAGAAAGTTGCTAAAGGTTAAGGTTGCCATAACTGAAACAGAAAATATTATTTATATACAACTTTTTGAATTATTTCCTACTGCATTCATAGCTAAAATGATGATAAGAAATACATTGATTACTGGTACATTGAATTGGCATTACTGGTACATTGAATTGACATATATAGAGAGTTATATAGGAATGTTTTTATCAAACTTTGAACCCATCATGTTATACATGACCATTTGAACGCAAGTATTATGATTTACTGTAACCCTAAATTCTTTCAGTCTTTGTTCAAAATCATTGTTGACAAGCTTGTAAATGTGAACAATTGTTATGTAACATGATATTGATAGAGTTAAACATTAAATGTATGTGACAACAAAGGAAGATTTTTACACCTTGTTTTTCTTTTATAGATTAACTATGTTATCTAAGTTAACTATTTTTTCCTGCTTATTTGTTAAATTTAGTAAGTAAAGTGTTGAAGTGACTTAAACAAATAAAAAATTGTAAACATAAGAAAAAAATTGTAAACATTTTGTTTTCATTTGCAATTCAAAACAATTTAATCTCAAGATTTTTCTCTAATAATTTACAGGGTTGTTCAGCACAACACATTATATCTTCACTAGACAAAACTATCTGTACCTACCTGAATATTTGTTTTAAGTATATATTTTATTAGTCCCCTACCGGTTTAACCGGAGGGGACTTTAGGTTTACCCTCCGTCCGTCTGTCTGTCTGTCCGTCTGTCTGTCCGTCTGTCTGTCTGTCTGTCTGTCAGTCCGTCAGTCCGTCCGTCCACAAAACTGGATCCCGCGATAACGCAAAAAGTACTGAAAATATTTTTATGAAACTTGATATATGGATAGATGGCAGTATGGAGATTATGCACGTCTTTTTTTTTTCTTCCTATGTTGAAAATTCTGGTTGCTATGGCAACAAATAGTCTGAAAATATGGCAAAATTTAACACATAAACTGGATCCAGTGATAACTCAAAAAGTACTGAAAATATTTTTATGAAACTTGAAATATGGGTAGATGGCAGTCTGGAGATTATGCACATATTTTTCTTTTCTTCCTATGTTGAAAATTCTGGTTGCTATGGCAACAAATAGCCTGAATTTCAAGATTTCTGATTTAAATTTTTCAGCTTTTTCACTATATGTTCTTTATTTCTTAAGGTGTTTACTTCAAACTTTAAATATAAGTTTCTGGTCATCAACCACATCATATGTGACAAGGTTTATAACTCTAGCACAAAAAATATCAGTATTACCTCCCTTGAACTTAGATTTTTTAGGGGAAAAAATGTTGTCTTTTTTAAATAACTTCTTTATTTCCTAATGTATCTACTTCAAACTTCATATATATGTTTCTTATTATCACTCGACATTTTTGAGATGGTTAAATACTCTAGCAAGACTATTTCCAGAATTATGTCCCCCTTGAACTTAGATTTTTTTCGAGAAACTGGTATTTTCACTCCAACTTCTTCATTCCTTATAGGATTTACTTTAAAATCCCACATCGTAATAATATGACAAGGTTGTATAAACATAATTTCCTTACTAAGCATGGAAACTTAACACATTACTGTGATATAGACAAACTTATTTTATTATGTTTTGTGGTTGATATTTTCAAATACAGACTTCATCCTCAAATTCATTATAAATGGCAATACACAGGAGTGTATGACAATTAAAGAACTTTTTGAGGGACCGGTAGGGGACTACTGTATTGCCCGCAATACTATCAAATGCTTGTATATAAATAGTATGCTAACAATGATTTGATGTTTTTTATAGGCATTTAGCACACCTTGGTTTCTTTATGCTAGTCCTACAAATCACCATCTAGTGTTCTTCCTATTGGAAGTCTTCAATAACATCATACAGTATCAGTTTGATGGTAAGTACTGTAACATTTTACAGCATTCTATCTTTGAGAATTGGTAAAGTCAAGTGTCAGATAGTTAAATTTTTAAATGAAAGAATATTGAACTCTCTTTTAAAATACAGATTTTTCAAATAAAGTTTTTAAATTGATCAAGACCAAAGATAATTGGAAATGTGTGTTTTAACATTTTAACTTACTTAATGTTATTTGAATGTTTCAATATTTGAAGCTAAAATGCATTATGAATTTCTAAGATGTACAATGTTCAGGTTTAATTTATTTCTATTTACAGGTAACAGTAATTTAGTCTACACAATAATACGCAAGCGTCAAGTATTTCATCAGCTGGCCAATCTACCAACAGATCACTCTTCTATTGCCAAGGCCCTTACAAAACGTGGTAAGAAGCTGCACACTCCATCCCCCACGGACCACAAAGAGCCTCAGACAATGGAGGGTGCCCTCCCAGCTGTTGAGGCGGAACCTGGAACTCTCAAAGTTTCACTTGCTGCTACACCACGTAAGTACATTTATAATGTAGAAATAATTGGATTTCCCTTTAAATGCAGATATCTCTACATTTTAGCTCAACTATTCAAAGTATAAGGAGAGCATTTGTATTTACCCAGGCGTAACCGTCAGACCTTAAGTTTTTGCATGCAAGTTGGTATCTCCAAAACTACTGAACAGAATTGGTTGAAACTTAGAACACATACACTGCCACTCAGTTCCCTTCTGTAGAATGTGCCCCTTAATAATGCTAACCTCGGTCCTTGGCTCCCCCAAAAATAAAAAATTTCACTGATCACAAAATATATATATATATATTATTTAGTTACTGTTAATGTGACAGTCAAGTACAATAAACAATTGTAATTAGGTTGGGCTGTGAATGAATTTTGTAATATTGATATACCATTGATATTCAATAATCGGTACAATATTGAAAAACATTTAAGAATTGAATAACATTTAAGAATATCAGTACAATTTTAAACCCATTTCTTCATGTCTTATGAAAATATCACTCTACTTTGTGGAAAGGGAAAAAGTCACTTCTCTCCTTTTTAGCTCGACTTTTCTATGAAAAGGGGAGCTATCCTACTCGCCCCGGCGTCGGCGTCGGCGTTGGCGTCACACCTTGGTTAAGTTTTTCGTACCACCCCACTTTATTTCAGAAGTATTACAAGTATGGCTTTGAAACTTACCATACTTGTTCACCATCATAACCTCCATCTACAGACAAGAGTACATAACTCTGTCAAGGTTTTTTGACAGAATTATGGCCCTTTTTTGACTTAGAAAGTGTATTGAGCTTGGTTAAGTTTTTTGTACCACCTCACTTTATTTCAAAACCATTGGAGGTATTGCTTTGAAACTGACCATACTTGTTTACCATCACGACCTTCATCAACAGACAAGAGGACATAACTCTGTCAAGGTTTTTGACAGAATTATGCCCCTTTTTGACTTAGAAAATACATTGAATATGGGTAAAATCCACTTATTGCCTTAACCCTTTGAGATATTGCTTTGAAACTTTTAATGCTATTTCACATCATTACCCCCATCTGTACGCAAGAGAAGGTAACTCTGTCAAGGATTTGTTTTAAAAATTAAGGCCTTTTATCGACTTAGAATCTTGGTTAAGTTTTTAGTACCAGTCCACTTTTTGACTGAACTGTTTGAGATATTAATTTGAAAGTTGGAATACTTGTTTACAATCATGATTCCCAAACATGTCCAGGAGAAGGTAATTCTGTCAAAGATTTTATTTGAATTATGGCCCTTAACTGTCAATGTTTTGTATTATAGGCAAGCACTAAAAAACTTAAAAAATCTAAAAAAATTCATTCCTATCCACTTGTTCACTTTACCATAAATTATGTCATATAAACATTGCTGTAATATTCAAGGGTATCAAACAACTAGTTCACTTTAAAAATACAGAGATTCTTGTATTGCCTTTTACTGCAAAAACTTTTTTTATTGGCAAGCAATAAAAAAGTCGAGCGCGCTGTCTTACGGACAGCTCTTGTTTGTCGAGTTTCAACACTGGATTTAATTTTCAGAGGTCTGTAAGATATGATAAAATCTTTTGATATTCTGTGTTTGTGATGTATAAAACATGCTTTCATGCACCATGATAACAGTTTATTACACATAATTAAATGGTTAAGCCATTGAATTTGATATATCAATAAACTGTCGATATTTAGCTTTCAATATGTCAATGCAATGACAGCCCTATAATTAGGTTACTTGTGAGTGCAGAAGGTGTGAAAAGCATGTACATTTATCTGCTCTATTGTTCAATTATCTGTCAGTCAGCCAGGTTTCAAAATTGATAAAAATATGGTGAGATACATACTTTTCGTTTTTTATACTGTGCATAATTATAAATGTACTATATAATAATGCACTTGATTGCCTTATCTGTTTGATAATGGAATAGTGTGAAGTGAGTTAGAATCAAAATTTATATATTGTCGTCCTGATCATTGATCACGCTATCACTTGCGTGCGCGTACTGTTCTCCACACCTTGAGCCAGGAGTGTTTTGCACAGTCGATTTACAAGCCTAGTTGGATCTGTGATACACCAAAGTTCGAGGTTCATCACAGATCACCAGGCCCAGTGGTCTCTGGCCGCCGAATTCTCGATGCGCCTGGTACGAAACACGGCAGTCATTGATTCGATGTATCTTGGTCTACTTGTGGCGCTATTTCCTCCCACAACACTTATTTATACTTTATAGATTGTGAGCTACATATATAGATAACACATAAATCGAACGTGTTGTTAGCACATATATTGTCGACACGACTATATCTTAACTAGAAAAATAAAAGATTAGTTATCTAATGAACATATAGGGTACGGTGTGCAACAAATGAAAAAATAAATGTATAACACAAAACTTAAAATGCACTGCAATCCAAAGCATGATAGTTAATGTTTAACACTTTGTTGTTGTTGTTGTTGTCAATTTAATGTTGTAAACTTTAAAGATCCTAAAATATTCTAGGTTTATTAGTGTTGCAACATTCAGTTTTTGAGAAATACTTTTCAGTGTTGTTTTCTATATGATATAGAAAGTGGTTAGGCACTTGATGATACATAATTTAAAAAAAGCATCTGAAATATGTTGGAGGCATAACATATACATGAATAATTAATGACAAAGTTATCTCAAGTACAATATGGATTTGGTAGTGATTTTTACACTCAGAAAATAATAACAAGGCTAAGTTGATAATATTGGATAAAATCATGATTAAATTGGAAGATCACATGGTTCAAGTAAAGTCCATTGATACATTATGTAAGGCTTTAAGTAATGCTCTCTATTTCATCCATGAAAAACTTAATAGTATTTTAGGATTAAAGTATAATAATGCAGATGTAGGAGTTATATATTTTTATAATCTATTTCTTTGTAAAATCTTTAATTAAAAAAAATACTGAAATAATTTTTGACTACTTTTTGACACAGTGCATGTCCAGTGTGACTTGGCAGGTGACCCGGAACTTTCCTTCATAGATGGTGGGCCATTTTTCAGAGTTGATATTTCGCAAGTCTCACATGCTACTGTTCACAAACCGAAATCAAAAAAACGTAACATAATGCTCTTATTTAAAGTGTTTTCCTTACACCAAACTAATCAGAACTTGTAAAATAACCTGTAATGCTGTATTTACTAATATTGTGGCCACTTTTGATTACTGTATATTTAAAAACATCACAATCATCTTTGTAGGCTATTAGGCAACTGAATCAGTATGTTATAGAAAAATGTTTGGGTTTTTCGTGGGTTATTTTGTGACGTATAATTTCTTTTTACATCAAGTTTTTATTTTTTAAAGAAAGAATAAGAATTAGAATTAATTTGAATTATATGAAAAACAAAATTTTGTATTAGCCTCTTTACTAGAATCAGTATTATTCACAAGATTATTTTCATGGCATACAAACAAAGTTACTGTTATTAAACATTTACATGTTTACTTGTTTTTTTCAGTGACTATTGTTTTGACTGTATAAATTATTTCAGTCCTGTCTTTATTTACAACAGCTATAATACTAAAATCTTCATGCCAGTTAAACATACAGCATTTATTTCTTTGTAAAACACAGTTACTTAACTTAGTATAAAATGAGGTAGACCATTAAAAGTACCATAAAAATGTTTTCAAAAGTGGCTTTTTTTTTCACAGTATCTTCGCTTTACTTTACATGTACTTGCTTAAAATATTGGATAATGATGAATAAGCAAATTACAAAAACTGGTTTTCTTTATGTATTTATTTGCATTCATAATTATTGAGATTCTTTGCACAATTTTATCTCAGGATACTTATAGAGGATATTGAATGAGTGTAGATTTAATACTAAATTTATTGAACAAGTTGAATAAAATCATATTTTGCGAGCATAATATTGTTTTATTCAACGAGTTCAATAAATTTAGTTTTGAATCTACACGAATATAATATTCTATTTATCACATAAATTATATAAAATAAGAACGATAAACTGTTAAAAAGAGTTATTTTTCATTGACGCGTTATAGTGTAACGCTAACATTAGCGCGCTTTTACGCTATGTTTATATATAGCGCAAATGACGTCACGTTAAAGTGTTATTACACTAGTGTAATATCATTTTTATTGAATGGCTTTATTACACTCCTGCATCGTGGTTTATGTGATAAATGTACATATGTAATGATGGTTTTAAAGATACAGCATTCATATTCAATTCTGATATATCGGCATTTGATGTCAGATTTATCTGCTTGAATGATTAAAACTATCAACTCTTTTAAACTGTGTATGTATTTTGGATGATAGTTCTGTCATTATAGAAACACCAGTATTTGTTTTTGTCATAAAAATAAGAATAACTCATTGAAATACAACTTAAGGCACATGGTTATTTTAACAAAACAAATCCATTATCTCGTAAGAAATTCTTCCTTTTAGATAAAATAACTTGTAGACAATAGAATAATTGTATGGTTTACAATAGATTTAACATATCTATCTGTTTACAGTAGTTGTAACATCTTAAACTTTTGTTATTAGAAATGAAGGTTATTTATGCTCCTTGTACGGTGAGAGGACATTTTGTGGATGCTTTTTTGGACATCATGTATTTTGTTTGTCTGTATTTGTGTCACAATTATTGTCCCTGACCTTTTCAGAAAGAAAAACAGTCGATATAGAAATGGGCTTTGTTCGTCTGTCACACTTTTTATACTGACCTATAACTAAGCCATTCATCAAAAGAATTTGAAATGGTGTGTTTTCATGTGCTACATGTCCAGTTCATAATTTTCTTTAAGTTGTCTGCCCCTCAACACAGGGATCATGGGTTCAAGCCCTACTCGGGCCACAACCATGATTTCTCATATGATACCAATACTGGTTAGTTCCAAGGAGCAGACTTGAAAGTGATTAATATAAGTTGCAAGAACTTGTTTTGCAATCGAGCTAAAAGAAATATGTTTATTCTACAATAATGAGACGAGGTGTAGTGCCCCAACAGCCAGACGCCAACCTTCAAAGTTAAGGTCACACTTGGAGGTCAAAGCTTAATATGGTCTGTTATAGGGTATATTTTGTGTCCGGTCCATAACTTTTTCATACATCAAGTGATTTTGAAATTATATGGCACAAATGTTCACAATGATAAGACAATGTGTCATGTGTAAAACCCTGATCCCTACCTGCAAGGTCGATGCCACACTTTGAGGTCAAAGCTTTACATGGTCTGTTATAGGGTATATTATATGTCTGGTCTTAAAAAATTTCATTGATCAAGCGATTTTGAAATGACTTGGCACAAATGTTCATAATAACAGGACAACATATCATGCACAACACCCGAAGCCCTACCTTCAAGGTCAAGGTCACATTTGGAGTTAAAAACTTAACATGGTAGGATTTCGGAAATTACTTGGCACATATGTTCACAATTATTGGATGACGTGTCATGCACAACACCTGAATTCCAACCTTATGGTCAAGGTCAGATCTTTTCATCATCACCTCAATGGCGGCAGTCTTGTTGTTTATATAAAAGGTGTTGTACATGGAAATTGAAGTATATTCCATCTTTTCATATCGCCAAAATTTTTTATGTATGACAGTGTTATTCTATAAGATAGATTTTAAATGTTGATTATTCGCTGTAAGTCAAAACATAAAAAATGTAATATAACCATTAGGAAAGAATCTAAAAGTCACAAGTAATATGATTTATATTGATCAAATTTATTACTGTAACAAGCTTTAAATTAAATATTCTAGGATTTCAACACTTTCGAGACTTACACAGGACATATTGTCCTACATCTGTTAAGGAAATGGTAAAAGCAAAAGGTATATTTAAAATATTGCTCATCAATATTTATGTTATGAAACTTATGGTGGGACATTTATTTTATTCTATATAATGAACCTCGAAACTGATATTGCATGATTTACAATCCATTTTTAGCTCACCAGAACCAAAGGGTCAATGTGAGCTATTAGTATCAAAGGGAGATGCTCCGGCGTTTGTCTTCATGCGTCGACTCTGAGACTGCTGGACAAATTTACCTCAAATTTGGTCTGTAGCATCCTTGTGACAGTCACATATGATTTCAGTTGGCCCCTTTTAGGGGTCAACAGAGCTAAAAATAGAAAAGCCTTTAAACATTTTTTATACTGAACTAATTTATGGATGATCACCAAAGTTTGTCTGAAGTATTTTTAGGTAGTATTTTATCAAATTTGCTCATATTAATTTGATAGGTCCCGTTTAGGGGCTGTTAAAGCTAAAAGTAGAAAAACCTTAAAACAACTTTTTCTACTGAACTAATTGATGGATGATCACCAAACTTTGTCTGTAGCATTCTTAGGTAGTCTTTTATCAAATTTGGTTAGATTAATTTGATTGGCCCCTTTTAGGGGCCACTAGGGCTATAAAATAGAAAACGTTTAAACATTTACTAAATAAATTGATGGATGGATGATCATTAAACTTTGTCCATAGCATTCGTAGAGGGCTTTTTATCAAGTTTGCTCAAATTAATTTGATTGGCCCCTTTTAAGGGCTGATAGAGCTGAAAATAGAAAAAAAATGAGTAGCATGAGTTGGTATGCTTTACTTTACAGATGAACAGTAACAATGCACTTGGGCCATTTATGAAAGATTCTATTTTCTATGATGAAGAAAAATAAAAACAATCTGTGTCAGGAAACTAATATCCATAGGGGCAAGTTGAAATTGAGCTGGACTTGCCTAATAGACAAGTTCATTTGAAAAATTATTTCTAACACTGAAAAACAGTTGTTTCTGGTGAGCGATTCAGGGCCATCATGGCTGTCTTGTTTTTTTTAACCAATCAAAACTGTTATAAAGAAAGCATGTTATATCATGACTGTTAAGTGCCAGTTCCAGTCAGATTGTTAAGTTATAGTCTACCTTTGTAAAGGGTTTTTATAAAGAATTTAGTGCATAATGCTAAGACCAATGTTTACGAATGGGCATAATTTAGCATAAGTGACATCTTCACCTTATCAACTGACCTTTTTGTTTTAGGGGAACAATTTTTACCAAAATTTTGCTTTTATCATTTTCTCTTATGCATTTCATGTACTCTAGATTATTCTGCTTGAGTAGTTTGTATAATTAAGTGCATATATGAAATATAACCCATATATATAATACATATAAGCATGAAGTTATTAATCTGCATAGCTTAAACCAGTATATAATGGAGGAGCAGGGATCTTTAGGTGGCATATCATAACATTTTGACTCTGTTTGTTGTCATTGTAAATTTTCTTTTGAGAAATGCTTCACCTTAATTAAATACATGTATCTCTTTTTCAGTACTATGATTTCTGGTTTCATTTTAAACACCACTAAGGCCAAAATTCTGATGATTTTATTGAATTTTCTATTTAAAAGACTTGATTTTTTTCTGTGCTTCCATGCAAGATTGCTGGAAAAGAGTCCTTTAAATTGACATTTTATATATTTTAAAAAAAACTGTATTTAAATGTATTAATTCTCACCTTTGTAAAGTATTGTAATATGAATTAAGTTAACTATGTTTTTGATTCTGACTGAAAAAGAATTCAACCACCCAAAACATTGTGTCTGAATTTGTAAGCAAACAATTGCTTTTCACTGGTGTCCTCTTTTGGTGTTAAGTATATCATAACATGTGCTGGAAGTCAGAACAGAGAAATATGTGTACATTGTTGTTGTACTAAGAGATGTATTTTTGTAAAAAATTGATATCTTCAGCCATCCATAGTAATATTTTGTGAATATGTTAAGATATATTTTATACATTATCTAATTTTTAACCAGGTTTTCCGAAGGAAAGAACTGGTTATTAGATTGAGGTATGTCGGCGGACGTGCGGGCGTAAACAATTTCTTCTATGCGCAACTCCTCCTACATTTTTCAACGGATTTTGACCAAACTTTCACAGAAGCTTTGTCATCAAGTGACCTGGCGCATATTGTTGGGGTTTTGTGATTGGATAATATTTGACCTAATTATGGCCCTTTGTTTTTATTCCTTATATAGAATATATAGTGAATAATTTCTTCTGTGCCCAACTGTTCCTACATTTCTCAATGGATTTTGACCAAACTTTCACAGAGGTTTTGTACTAAAGTGCCCTGGCGCATATTGTCGGGGTTTTGTGATTGGATAATATTTGACCTAATTATAACCCTTTGTTTTTTTTCCCAATATAGGATAAAATTATAGTGAACAATTTTCTGTGCGCAACTCTTCCTACATTTCTCAACGGAATTTGACCAAACTTTCACAGAGGCTTTGTCATCAAGTGCCTTGGGGCATATTGTCAGGGTTTTGTGATTGCCCTTTGTTTTGTATTTGACTATATTAGCTTAATGTCGTAATCAATTTTACATTGCGCTATCTTCTCCTACAGCGTTCTACTCAACTAAAATTTATGAACCAAAACTGTTCATCAGATAGCGTTTGTTAATCTATCCTCTTTGGCTTCCATTTATCGAGGAGTTTTTGATATATAGAAGGATATATAAATTGGACTCATGATCTAAATGAGATAATAGCGTTGCAGTGTGTTTCGAGTGATATATTAATGAAATTAACAGCGAAATACTACAAGTTAGTATAAAATAATAAATGCTTACTGAAATAGCATGACTCTCTATCATAAACTATATACTCACATTGTAATTTTCCATTCAAACTTTTATTCTCACACCATTTAGCTTTGTCATTGCTCATTTTGACACTGCTGAGGCGAGCATATTGTCGTGGGTTTTGTAAAAATTGAGCGAATAATACTTTTTATATTTAATTTTATTTGGCCCTTGTTTTTTTTATCTTAATACATAATATGATTTTAAAGCTAGACCGACACTTAACTCTTGATTGGTCAATCACTCTACAATATTCATGTTTTACATTGCAACATAGTTAAATTGTTTGTTTTGATTGTATTTTGTTAATATATCAATACGGACCTATTTATCTTATCCAATGAGGATTATTTGAGCGAGATCCTGGTTTCATGGCTATTGCCCATGTTATCATGTTTTCTTAGTTTTGTGTAAGTAATTGCCCTCTTACCTTTTAATTAAAGTTTTCCCTTCCCTCTCGGCTTCTCTAACCCCTCACTCACACTCATTTCTCTCCTTATAACACATCTCTCATCTCAACTATAACTATTGCAGAAGACATAGCAAATATATGAGAAATTACTTTGCTAGCGAGTATCTTACACAGACATCATCAGATTACTAATTCTGAGCTGTCTGTGAGCGATCTCTAAAGTAAGTGATCAATACCATTAGAGCCTTCAATGATATAGAAATCGTGCGGGAAATGATAAATATTCTAGTATGTACTAGCATCGATACTATAATTTGCATAAACTGTTCATGAGAGCATCAACCCTCTTAAACTTCAGCTCATAATGTTCATTTTAAAATTGATAAGATATAAATAATAACCAATTAATTAAACTTAGTTGCGTATAGTACTAGATGGTGGTGGTATTATTAGTCTACATACCTGATGCAAGCTAATAGTTTGTTTGTGCAAATAAGTGAAATTATACTGAGCCATGAGTTTAAGCTTATTTCCTCTAGCATGAGAACTATTTTGTTTCTTGAAAACCTTTCATTACATTGTCCAAATATTTTTCATCATTTCTTATTATTTTTGATAAGTGTGCTATTCATGGAAAGTACTTAGGTTGCGAGCGAGATACTATTAATATGTAGACTACCTTCTAGTGGATGGATTAAACCTCTAGGCTTAAGTAGAAGGGTCTGTTATAACTTTTATATCTCAAATCGAATGACCGGCTAATTGGAACGAAACACTAATATTGCTATTGATTTTTACTCAGATATTTATTTGTCTATCTTTTTGAGTGAGAGTTTCAAATTCTGCCCCACTATGCGGTGAGAGTCAATTTTAATTATAAAATATAAGACAAAAAGCATTTACACAGAATCATGACTCGGAAATCTTACATGAAATGTCAATAAATGTATGATAGTATCTAAATATAGCATTTTTCTAATTTGTCACAGTTAAATTTTGTGACATAGTTTAATTAACAAGAGCATAATATTTTTCAGCACAATATGAAAAGCACAGAAATGAACAGATGCTTACACACACATGAATCCGTTGCCTCACAAAGAACCCGAATTGCAGTTGCAAACCTTCCAGAAAAAAAAAATGCATGGAGCCAAATAAATTAATCTATAATATGTTGTAAAATAATAAATTAAGATCCTGATGATTGTAATACAGGTATTTTAACTGATGAATCAATACTTTTTCTTCACCAAATTAAACGTTTTCACCAATTTCTTTAGTAAATATCTGTCTTTTAAGCATTTTATCTCTTACAGTCTAAACCTTCCAAAAAATGAATATGTTTTACATGTTTCTTTAGTAAGAAGCAATGTTTCTCATAACTGTTGCTTGTGGTTATATATTGATGTATTTATACTAGGAGACTCCACCTGCTACCCCAACTACACCAAATAGTGAAACTGCAAGAGCACCCTTCAAGCGAGCTGGATCCACATCTAGTGCTGGCGGTGGCTGGGTTGCCACACCTGATTGGGTATGAGAACAAATATTTTTGAGTTATTTTACTGTAATTCCTTTATTAGATAACAACATATAGAGGATATTTGTTTGTTTTGCATGTAAGATTGAAATATAATTTCACTGAGTGAACACCAGATGCCATATTTTCACGAGTGGCGTAGCCACGAGTGAAAAATATAATAGCTGGTGTTCACAAATGAAATATATTTCAATCTTATATGTAAAACAAATAAATTTTCTTTTTATTTCATGCTTTTTAAGTAATTTTAAGTATTTTTTACTGATTTTGCCGCGTAACGTCGCGCATTTCTCCTTTGTGACGTCATCACATCGTGACGTCACATCATCAATTTTGAAATGTAGTTCTGTTTAGATTTCTCTAATTTTGTTACATTTTTAATATGATGTATGGTGACATCGACTTTCATTTCCTAAAGAAGCAAAATTTACGCATGACAGCATTTATTTCTGCCTGTTATTCCATTTAGTTATGATTTTCTTTTCATCCGCATTCAGATGTAGTCCGGCTACAGTGAAAATTATATTTTATAAATTTCACTAGTGGTTTATCAGAATATAATCATCTGATATATTACAATAAAACACTGGAAAGCATGAAATAAACTTTTATAAACAGGTGTTTTGATTTTGTTACAAATGTTGATTAAAGAATTATAAACATGAAGATCTTTCTCTTTAATCTTTTCATATAAAAGCTTGATATTCTAATTGAAATTCTATTCTAATATTTCAGAATTTACAAAATTCACTCTTTTCAAGAATTGTTTGAATATTACCACTTAATAGTCTTTATAATTTATGTTTAAATTTTAATCCATAGGTACACTCTTGGAAGCATAAGTTACCTTTACAGACAATTATGAGAATGTTACAGGTGCTTGTTCCACAAGTTGAGAAAATATGTATTGACAAGTAGGTTTATATACTTTGTTTTTATTATATATAGAGGATATTTGTTTAGTTCAGTGTAAGATCGGAATGTATTTCACCGAGTGAGCACCAAAAGGTATATTTCACGAGTGGCGCAGCCACGAGTGAAATATGAACTTTTGGTGTTCACAAGGTGAAATATATTTTGATCTTACACTAAACTAAACAAATTTTCTTTTTATTATATGCAAAGAAACGTTTTAAAAAGACATTAAACCTAATACTGAATGAAAAGCGCACTAAATAATAATACATCGTGACGTCATTTACGACGTCACGTCATTAAGTTGGTACCCAGTTCTGTGCACGCTGATATTTCAGTGAAACAACGTAAGGGCTTAAATTCAAAACAGTGAAATTATCAAAGTGGTAATTTTCACTGTTTCAAACAGTGAAGTTACCAGTTTTTATATCGCTGATATATTTCTATAAACCACCGAAAAGCATGTAATAAACAGGGTTTAATTGGAAATTGAAATAAGACATATTTGTTCTCATATGTCATGTAATTCTTTTGGTCATATATAGTCACATACATAAATTAAAGCCAATAATGAGATTTTTAATGTTACAGTAGGAAAGAATTATGATACTGTGTGGCTAATTCTAAGAAAGCTCTATAGTAGGATAGCCAGTAAGAATTTTGGTAATTAAAAAAGTTAAATACTGATATTGAATGAGAGTGCTGTAATTTATTATTGCGTCTTGTTTTGCATGCGATCTTTGGCGATACATTATGACGTCACGTAACAACTCTTTTAAGGTCTGTACAGCGTTAATAACTGAATTTAAGATATTGATGTTCGGATTTATTTTCTTAGTTAGACCATTTTCTATGATTCTAGATAGGTTTCAAAACATATTTAAATAAAAAAAGTTTCGTATTTATCAGATTTTTCAAACAAAATGGCAAAAGAAGTCCCTTAAAAATAACTCTGCCCAAAACATATTTAAATAAAAAAAGTTTCGTATTTATCAGATTTTTCAAACAAAATGGCAAAAGAAGTCCCTTAAAAATAACTCTGCCCACTTTCATATTTATATTTCATGTTTATTTTTAAAAAATATGAAATATATTTGACTGATATAGCACCATATTTCATGGGTAAAATTCAATAATGAACACTTCTACACATTTTGTATGAAATTCTTCTCAAATTTGTATGAAATTCTTCTCAAATTTGTATGAAATTCTCAAATTTGTATGAAATTCTTCTCAAATTTGTATGAAATTCTTCTCAAAATCTTTGATATGAAGGTATTGAACTTTTAAAATCATACTGAATGTGTTTAGTGGAATTTAATGAGAGTAATTACCGTACTATTACAGGGGACTGACAGATGAGAGTGAGATATTGAAATTCCTGCAGCATGGTACTCTAGTTGGCCTACTACCAGTACCACACCCTATATTGATCAGGAAATACCAGGCAAATAGTGGAACTACTATGTGGTTCAGGACATACTTATGGGGAGTTATATACCTTAGGTAAACAATGACATTTTATAAAATTTGATTTGTTAGTGTGTTTATTTAAGGAAAAGCTATCTTGGCATTGATGTAGGTAATGATTTGTCTGCAACTTAATATCACATTAACCACTGGAGATCTTCACTTAGAACTTTTTATATATGTCTTTCAAAACTTATTATATGTGTCTTCAGGATCATAATTGTAAGAAATTTTCTAAGAACATTCATCTTTAATGGATTTTACTGAATGACATGATTTTTATATTGTTTGATTGGGTTTTACGTCACATCGACGCTGTATTTGATATCACGACGTTCCAGCTTTTAATAGTGGAGGAAGACCTCAGGTGCCCTTCCGTTCATTATTTCAGGCACGAACGGGCACCTGAGTAGTCTAGAACCACCGACGTTCCGTAAGCTAGCGGGATAGCTTCCTCACATGAAAGAATCCAAAGACCCTGTCGGAATTCGAACCCACAGCGGTGAGGGGCAAGTGGTTTGAAATCAACGACCTTAACCACTCGGCCACGGACGCCCCTTTTTAGCTCACCTGTCACAAAGTGACAGGGTGAGCTTTTGTGATCGCTTTTCGTCTTTTCGTCGATCGTTTTAAATATCTTCTTGTAAAAAACCATAAGAGCTAGAGCTAAGATATTTGGCATGAAACATCTTCTAGTGAGTGTCTACCAAGTTTGTTCAAATAAAAGCCCTGGGGTCAAAATTGGCCCAGCCCTGGGGGGTCATTGATTTCCCCTATATGCATATAGTAAAAACTTAAAAAATCTTCTTTTAAAGAACCCAAAGAGCTAGAGCTAAGATATTTAGCATGAAACATGTTCTAATGGGTGTCTACCAAGTTTGTTCAAATAAAAGCCCTGGGGTCAAAATTGGCCCCGCCCCGGGGGGGTCATTGATTTTCCCTATATGCATATAGTAAAAACTTAAAAAATCTTCTTTTAAAGAACTCAAAGAGCTATGGCTAAGATATTGAGCATCAAACATGTTCTAATAGGTGTCTACCAAGTTTGTTCAAATAAAAGCCGTGGGGTCAAAATTGGCCCCGTCCTGGGGGGTCATTGATTTTCCCTATATGCATATAGTAAAAACTTAAAAAATCTTATTTTAAAGAACCAAAAGAGTTAGAGCTAAGATATTTAGCATGAAACATGTTCTAATAAGTGTCTACCAAGTTTGTTCAAATAAAAGCCCTGGGGTCAAAATTGGCCCCGCCCCAGGGGGTCATTGATTTTCCCTATATGCATATAGTAAAAACTTACAAAATCTTCTTTTAAAGAACTCAAAGAGTTAGAGCTAAGATATTGAGCATGAAACATGTTCTAATGGGTGTCTACCAAGTTTGTTCAAATAAAAGCCCTGGGGTCAAAATTGGCCCCGCCCCAGGGGGTCATTGATTTTCCCTATATGCATATAGTAAAAACTTACAAAATCTTCTTTTAAAGAACTCAAAGAGCTAGAGCTAAGATATTTAGCATGAAACATGTTCTAATGGGTGTCTACCAAGTTTTTTCAAATAAAAGCCCTGGGGTCAAAATTGGCATCGCCTGGGGGGTCATTGATTTTCCTTATATGTGTATAGCAAAAACTTAAAAAATCTTCTTTGAATGAACACAAATAGCTAGAGTTAAGATATTAAGCATGAAACATCTTTTAGTGAGTGTCTACAAAGTTTGTTCAATTAAAAGACCTGGGGTCAAAATTGGCCCCGCCCCGGGGGTCATTGATTTTCTTTATATGTGTATAGCAAAAACTTAAAATCTTCTTTGAAAAAACCCATATAGCTAGAGTTTAGATATTAAGCATGAAACATCTTCTAGTAAGTGTCTACACAGTTTGTTCAAATAAAAGCCCTGGAGTCAAAACTGGCCCGGCCCCAGGTGTGTCATTGTTTTTAACCTTTTGTGTATAGTAAAAACTTAAAAAAAATCTTCTTTTAAAAAGCCCAATGAGCTAGAGCTTAGATGTTTAGCATGAAACATCTTCTTATGGGTGTCTACCAAGTGTGTGCAAATAAAAGCCCTTGGGTTAAATTGGCCCTGCAACGTTTGGTGGGGGTTGGGTGGGCCTATATACAGGTGAGTGACCTCAGGGCCATCATGGCCCTCTTGTTTATATAGCTGTATGATATGACAAGAAAAGATCTGAATGTAAATGAAGTTTGTTGTTGCTTTTCAGAGATTAATTCTTTATTAGGAATTTATATGACACTGGTTTATGAATACCTAGAATTTTCAAGAAGGATAAGTTTATTTGCACCTTTGGAAAAAAAAAAAACCCAAAGATTCACATTTTTTGCTGAAATTCCTAAGTTTGGATTATTTATTATTATAATAGTAAATACTTATCCTGTCTTGTTTCGTTTCAGAAATGTTGATCCTCCCATTTGGTATGACACAAATGTGAAATTGTTTGAGATTCAAAGGGTATAGTAGATGCAAGAATATCACAAGGGATGGGATCTCCAGTAACACAATCTCATGGAATCCAATTACTAGTTATAATACACACAAAAAAGTGTTCTGTTAGTTCTATGTAACTATTACATAGCAACCTGTGTAAGGGAAAATTTACATATTTGAATTGAGTTATTAGCCATTTTTATTTCATTTGTTAGTGATTAATTTTAGGTCACTTTAGTAGGTTTGCTTTCATGTTAAGAAAATATTAAGAGTTAATAAAGATATTTATTATATACTTATAAATGAAATATTGAGAAATATTGATGAAATAAAATGCGTATTTTCATTTTCGGTATTTTCACTGTAAAAATTTATTTTTCACTGCAGTGAAACATATTTTCCGTATTTTCACTGGTGTCTTGCCGGACTACTTTCTTTTAAATTCTGCCAGTACGGGAAAATCTTTCAAATTTTAATATCAAAAAAGAGAAAAATGTATATAATAAACAGAAAATTCAAGTTTTTTCTATAAATACATGATTTATTTTCATCTTGTGGCATGAAAATTACCATATTTCACTCGTGGCTACCGCCACTCATGAAATATTTATTTTCATACCACTCAATGAAAATAAATCATGTATTTATAGAAAAAACTTGAATATCCTCTATAGATGTGGGTTTAATTTAGTTAATTTAGTTTTCAGCACCTAGAGCCTGTTTATTTGTTTCTGAATTGACATTTGATGTTAACAATTGATGTTTTCAGTCCATTTTGATAACATCAGAATGTCATGTTTAACACACTTTACCAATAAGTAAAATTTTCCTGTTGTATTCTTCCTTATTGGTTTTTTTTATCTTTTAACTTTTTCTTGTTTTTTTTTTTTTTTGGTGTTTTATTTTTTCAATGATAATTGAAACAGGTAGTTAAGTTAGAATATGAAAGAAATGTTTTGTTGTAAAATTATGCATAAGATCTGATAAACTCACAATCTCACAAAGATTTTACCTTCAGACATGTCATAGAATTTACATACTAGTATGCTGTGTCTTAATGGTCTTATGTTAATTGTTGTATTTTATCTATATAGACTTAAGACTGTTTGAAACTTTGTATATCAATTATGTATACAAAATAATTTATTTTCTTCAGAATAAAAGATAAAGTAATCTGAACTTCTGAAAATTTCACATACATATGACATCTTTACACAGGATGTTTTACTTATATAATTACATGTTGTCTGTGGTTTTTCATTTAACTGTAGGTTTCAGTTTTTCTTAAATGGCTGAAAGTATGTGTAACTTCTTGTCTTTCATTTGTTTTGTTTTTCTGAATCTTTTGTTATTTTTCTTTAAGAGAGATTGATCCATATTGATGTTTTTACTAGATACATTTGTATATTTTCCTTGTCTCTTTAAGGTTTATTCTATATTGTAGTTTGTTTGGGTAATTTACTAGTTATGTTAATTGTAATAAATCATGTTTAGTTAATAATGAGAATGAATTTCTTAGGATAATATGAGCACAAGAACTTAGCTTTTCAGATTATAAATTTTATCATAGAGCATTTGATATAAATATATGATCTTTTATTGATAAACTGTTGTGTTTGGTTATACAAGCTTGTCTTTGGTAGTGGTTTAGTTATAAAAAAAGGTTAATGTTAGATTCAGAAATAAGGAAAATGGCAAATCAGGTCATCACCGACTTGTTTCCACTCTGCCTAGTGCATACTGGGAAAAACTTGTTTGTAAATTATATTTTGTTTGTTTACATGAAACATGTCAAATTTTTGGTAACATTTTAAATTATAAAAGCCAATATATCTGCTTACAGAGAAGGGAAAATGGAATTGATAAGGTAGTGTTTTGTTGCGATTAACATAGGTAATTATGATAAGAATTGGCATCATCATCATATCATATTCATTGCCCAGCATGATCTTCTTATAATGTATTATTTCAGACAAAGTTTTATAAGCTTGACTATTATGAGCTATTATATTTACTCCAGCTTGACTATTCAAGAACTATTGTATCACAGTAACACTTTGGTCAAGCCTTTGTGTGCAAACTACTGAAGGGAATAGGTTGAAACTTCACACACTTACTTGAGAGCATAATTGGAGGTCCCATAACTCTTAATAACATAGAATTATAGCCCCTTTGAAGTTTGAGAATTCTACTTTATCCAAGTTATTATTTTACTACCAAGCACCGAGAATAGTCGAGCACACTGTCTTACCGTCAGTTATTGTTTATTTTAAAAATATATCCGTTCATCAGTACATGCTTTCATAATTTTTCACATTTTTCTTACTTTTGAATATGAAACAGTCATGTGTTCCATATGTGCAATATTGTATGTACAACATGGTTTGTATTTAGACTTTTTTTTCAAACATTCCATTGTTTTGTTTTATAAGCTCACCTGACTTCTTATGTGGTCATGGCGAGATTTTTTTTATCACATGTTCTCCCTTGTGTGTGTGTCAACAATTTTATGAACGCAAAGTAACAGATTCATTTTCTATTTGATATGATATGAATCAAACTTACACAAGCCTTGTATCACCAGAAATAGTAACATAACTAATACAAAAAATAAGAGTCCTTTTTAGTTTTTCAATACTTTTTTCAGTTATTGTAAAAAGTTGATAGTGGCTCAAAATACAGAGGCTAGTGTTGATCTAGTATATATAAGAAATTTGTATTTCAGTCTAACATTTAAGAACCAATCTAATTTCCTAAACAGTTCCAAAGTTAACTAAGCAATTTTGCAATATCAAATCAAATCATGATGAAATATGTATCTATCTACATGAATTATTTTGTTGCAATTGGTTTCCTGTATTCTTGGGTATTTTCAGTTGAATAGATGAAGATAAATTACACTTTTCTTTGATTCCTTCTGGGACATATACTTAATGTTATATTGGATGTTTTAAGCTTAACCATATAAAATATACATTATCATACACACCCATATATTATGTAACTGCATCAATATATGCACATGTAATGTGATGAGTTATTGAGAATAAGTGGTTATATATATTTATATGTCATTTTAAAGCCATCCTGTTACCTCAATAGGTACATCGTTGGACTGTGAATCGGGCCACCCGGGTTCGATTCCCCTACGGTGCAGGTGTCTTTCATTGTTATTGATCATGAAATCCTTTCTTTGACCATTCACACTGTACCTCTGCTCTGGCATGTACAGAAGTTATCAGTTCCTTGCGTAAGTGAAGGCAACAAGTTCTGGTAAACTGCTTGACAGTCTGCCCAGGAACAAAGCGGTGGCTGAACTGAACTCTGGTAAATTCAGTGTTGGCTTACTGCCGTGATATGGAGTAAAAAACTACCAAAACCACCACCTATGTCATTTTATTGTATTATGTGAACAAAATATTAGCAAATGAATTTCAATAAGTTCATTGTGTCTCTGTATAAACTAGATGGCATGCATAAATAATGACAAGGCAACATCACCAGTAATGAGCCAAGTCAACCGGATACCTTTACAATAAAACTATCAATAGACAATGGCTATATGAAAGTTAAACAAGTACATCACTTGAACATTGTTCTTATGCTTATATATGGCAGTTATAGAACATTTTAATCAGGTTGTGAGAGACAGTCACAGTAGGCATTTATTTGCTTAATGTGTATTACGGGCATTACAATAATTGTCAAAGCATTTTTCTTCACTAAAAACTCAATGATTGGACAGCTGGTTTTATGGTTTATATTAATCATGGTTTTAATTAAAGCTGTGATATTAAAACATATTAACAATTCGATCAATGAAATAGAAATTAAGATCTTTGCTATTTATCAGTAATGAATTTTCAGAAAGAGTTGTTTTTTTAAATTTATTTCATAAATTATAATGATGTTATGATTATTCATGTTGTTAGTGAAATTTTAAATATTTTGTTGTGAATATTTTATGTAACTGTTGTATAATGGGGGAAATTTTATGAGAAACGGAGGCAATAAACGTAGTGTAATCTTATTCTTTGTTTTTATTTTTCAACAAGTTTCTTTTTGTTAAGAATGCATTCATTATTTCAGCACAACATTTTGCTTACCTCAATATTTTCCAGACCATAGGGAAAGGTCATTGTTAGAAAGGACTTGGTCAGTTGTTTTTTACAAGACTTATGTGAGCCATATAATATTTGTAGTGATGAATAACGTTTAAGCTGGCCATATGGAAGGTGTCCCTTGTTTTCAAATTGTGCTTCTGTGGTGGAAAACGGCTCCAATGTGACCTTTAGACCTTTTTCTCAGGTGAGTTATCCAAGGCCTTCTCGACCTTGGTGTTACAGATTTGTTTAAACCGAATATTGTTTGCTTTAAGGAAAAGTAAAAATGTCGAGCGTTGCCCCCTGCCCGGCGGTGGCTCCTGTTATAGGCCTACCACAAACATTGTGAAGATAGCGGCTATATTAGGATCACTTGGCGTCTGTCAGGCCTTACATCTTCAGTGTGTCCGTTTTGTTAATACTACATTTCTTGAAGGATAATCAAAACGCGAATGTTTTCACTTCAAATAGTTGATGTACATAGCTAAAAAGTAAAGCCCCTGCAACAGCTCTAGGTTAATGTCACACTTGAAAGTCAAATGTCATAAATGATATCAGCTCTAAAAGCCCTATACCTCTTGAAGGACTTTTTACAAACATGAATATTCTCTATACTTATACTTAAAGGCTGCAGAAATGTCGACCGAAGACAAGGTCACCTTAGAAGGTCAAATATGAGACAATTGTGTCTGTTTTCAAAAATTTTCTTCATACTTTGCTCAAATCTTTTTCTTAACAAGTTAGCGGCGCAGAACCATTGCTGGTTCAATGTCACACTTAAAGGTCAAATGTCAGACAATAACTTTTTCTTTAAAATTGCCTCAAATGAAAATATATTAATTATAATAATTATAAAATCCCTCATAAGAAGGAAATTCACAGGGAATGAATTAAATAGGTGCTGATTATAATGTCAGCTTATCATTGCAAATATTCTATTTGTTGCAAAAACATATTAAAATGACATCTTACTAGTATGATCATAATTATTGTTTGATTTTATTAACCTGTCAATTGCATACTGATTATAAAGAAAACTGCACACAATATATCAATCTTCGATATATGT